TTTTGCATGACGTATCAGTTGCCCCCCTATTTTCGGATGTCGAAGCTCCAGGAATCCGAAAATATATGCGTCGACAATTTGTTTTAGTCGAAACGCAAAAAATTTCATCCCAAAAATTAAATGTTTGCTCAAACTTGATCGTAGAGGCCCCGTTGAGTTTCGAAAGTGTCAAAATTGAGTCCGGAACGTCGAAAAACGTGTCCGGAGACCCCAAAAATGTCCGAATCGGATCTTCCGGGCCAAAAATCGGGCCCGGACACGCATAGGCGGCCGAACTGGCCGGCCGGCCGGCACCGGTGCCGGCGAGCGCGCCGCGGGAACAGGTGCGCCCCTTGGGGAGTGCGGTTGCTGGCCGGTAATTGTTTTTTTTTTTTTTAATTCGTGGGGCCCATAAAATTCCAAAAAATCCGAAAAAATTTCAGAAAATTCCGAAATTTTTTTAGAAAATTTAGAAATTCTAGAAACTTCTCACCTTCTCTCCAAAAAAAGTATAAATAGGCCCCTTGAGCCTTTAGAAAAATTGCTCATCTTCTCTCTTCTTCTCTTCTTCTCCCTCTGTCCTTACAATTGAGGTGTTTCCTTGGTCTTCCAAGGCCCCTCTCTCTGCAAGGAAGTCCGGAGATTTTCCCTTCTCTCTCTTCTCCCTCTGTCCTTACAATTGAGGCTTTCCCTTGGTCTTCCAAGGCCCCTCTCTCTGCAAGGAAGTCTGGAGATTCTTCTTTCTCTCTCTTCTCCCTCTGTCCTTACAATTGAGGCTTTCTCTTGGTCTTACAAGGCCCCTCTCTCTGCAAGGAAGTTCGGAGACCCCCTTCTCCCTTTCTACTTCGAGAGATCATGTGGAGTTCCGATGTTTGAAGGTTAGCGATGGAGGTCGGGTAGACCGTTGTAAGGAGGGAGGTTGAAATGATGGGCATACATCCGGCGTCGGGGTTGGGTCTGACAACGGACAGGAATCTAACGAAAGGTAAAAATTTAACGTCGAGTAGAATTCTAACGTCGGGAAAAAGTACGACATCGGGTAGAAGGCCGATGAAAGTTTGTCGGCGGGCAGAAGTCTGACGACGAGTAAAAGTCTGCTTACGAGCAGAAGTCCGATGACATGGAGAAGTCCGATATCGGGTAGAAGTATGACATCGGGTAGAAGACCGATAAAAACTTGTCAACGGGTAAAAGTCCAACGATGAGTAGAAGTCCGCTGACGAGCAGAAGTCCGAAGACATGGAGAAGTTCGATGTCAGGTAGAAGTATGGCATCGGGTAGAAGACCGATAAAAGTTCGTTGACGGACAGAAGTCCGACGACGGGTAGTAGTCCTACGGCAGGAAGAATTCCGGTGAGGGGTAGAAGACCGACGAAAGTTTGTCGACGAGCAGAAGTCCGACTACGAGTAGAAGTCTGCTGACGAGCAGAAGTCCGACGACTAGTAGAAGTCCGCTGACGAGCAGAAGTCCGACGACAGGGAGAAGTCCGATGTCGGATAGAAGTACGGCATCAGGAAGAAGACCGATAAAAGTTCATCGACGGGCAGAAGTCTGACGACGAGTAGAAGTTCGCTGACGAGCAAAAGTCCGACGACATGGAGAAGTCCTATGTCGGGTAGAATACCGACGAAATTCCTCAACGGCCAGTAATCCATCGATAGGTAGTAGTCCGACGGCATGTTGAAGTTCGACGTCGGGTAGAAGATCGAAGTAAGTCCATCGACGGGCAGAAGTCCGACGACAGGTAGAAATACGACCTCAGGCAGAATACCGATGAAAGTTCGTTGACGGGCAGAAGTACGACGATGAGTAGAAGTCTCCTGACGAGCAGAAGTCCGATGACAGGGAGAAGTCCTACGTCGGGTATTAGTCCGTTGAAAGTCCTGCATGGCAAAAGTTTAGCGACATGAGGAAATTCAACATCAAGTAGAAATTTAACTTTGTACAGAAGTCTGATGGAAATCATTTGACGGCATTCTGGTGACATTAACCAAGGATGTATAATTTATCCAAGGTTGTTTGTCAGAGCCTTTGCTCGATGATGTTAACTGATATTGGATCTACCAATGATGTAAGATATATCCAAGGTTGTATGTCAGAGCCTTTGCCCGATGACATTAACCTGTGTGGAAGAGATCGAGAGAATCCATAAATGATGTAAGACCTATCTGAGGTTGTATGTCGGAGCCTACGCTCGACGACGTTAACCTGTGTGGAAGAGGTCGAGAGAATCCACCAATGATGTAAGACCTATCCGAGGTTGTATGTCGGAGCCTTTGATCGATGACGTTAACCTGTGTGGAAGAGGTCGAGAGAATCTACCAAGGATGTAAGACCTTTCCGAGGTTGTATGTCAGAGCCTTTGCTCGATGACGTTAACCTGTTTGGAAGAGGCCGAGAGAAACCACCAAGAATGTAAGACCTATCCGAGGTTGTATGTTGGAGCCTTAGCTCGACGATGTTAACCTATATGGAAGAGGTTGGGAGAATCCACCAAGGATGTAAGACCTATCCGAGGTTGTATGTCAGAGCCTTTGCTCGACGACGTTAACCTGTGTGGAAGACGTCAGGAGAATCCACCAAGGATGTAAGTCATATCCGAGGTTGTATGTTGGAGCCTTTGCTCGACGACGTTAACTTGTGTGGAAGAGGTCGGGAGAATCCACCAAGGATGTAAGACCTATCCGAGGTTGTATGTCAGAGCCTTTGCTCGATGACGTTAACCTGTGTGGAAGAGGCCGAGAGAATCTACCAAGGATGTAAGAGCTTTCCGAGGTTTTATGTCAGAGCCTTTGCTCGACGACGTTAATCTGTGTGGAAGAGGACAAATCGGATCCCCCTGGGATCGATTTTGCCTTGATTGGGAGGGGGCGAATGCTGGGATCGATTTTGCCTTGATTGGAGGGGGCGAATGCAGCATGTATCCCGAATCAAAGATAATGAAGGGTCTATCTTTAGACCATTACTACCTTTTTGAGGTCGAGATCAAGACCTTGCCCAAGGAGTATGAGTCCTGTAGGGGACTATATAAAGCTTTCCATTGATAGGAAGTATCCTTGCAATTGCTGAGATTTTCTTGAAATATCTTCTTAATATTTGAAATATTGGAGGGAACTTCTTGACCATAGTCGGAGTTAAGGTTGCCCCCCAGTCCACATCTGATTCTTATGAAATTGATGAAATAATTAATGATGTCAAGAAGTTGATAAGGACGATCTTTTGAGATTGGAGCAATAATCGCCCCCTAGTCGGGAATCACTTTCCCACAGAAGGCGCCAAACTGTTGCGTCCTAGAATATTCGCGGCGGTAGAGAAATATATGGTTTAACGTCTTAGCATTGTACGAAGATCCAGCACACACACAGAAAACCCCTGAAAAGGTGGAAAAACCACGAGGCTTGGCTCAGTTTGAATGAATCCACTAGTATTTGTGGTCGATTACAAATGAGGCCCTTCCTTGGGAGAAGGCCTTGGATTGATGTAGCAAATGTATATCATATAGATTGCATTACATGGTAGGAGTTACATATACATGTTTGTCTGGTCGGAAGGACCGTAGTCGGCAGGAGACCGGGATCAAAAACTCTGTTGTTTTTTGATGGAGGTCGGAAGGATCATAGTAGGAGGCGAAGGCCTGAAGGACCGTAGTCGGTAGGAGACTGGGGTCTAAAAGACCGTTGTCTAGTGATGGAGGTCGGAAGGACCGTAGTAGGCAACGAAGGCCTGAAGGACTGTAGTCGGCAGGAGACTGGGGTCTGGAAGACCGGTGTCTGGTGATGAAGGTCGGATGGACCGTAGTAGGCGAAGAAGGCCTGAAGGACTGTAGTCGGTAGGAGACTGGGGTCAGAAAGACTGTTGTCTGGTGATGGAGGTCGGATGGACCGTAGTAGGCGACGAAGGCCTGAAGGACTGTAGTCGGTAGGAGATTGGGGTCAGGAAGACCGTTGTAGTAGGGCGGTACTTTGGTAGAACTCTGGGCGTCAGGTAGTGGCCCAGCAGAAGTTTAGACCTCATGTGGTGTTCCGACAAAGCAACGGCGTCAGGTGGTAGTCCGGCGGAGGAGAGGGCCTTTGGCGAAGGTGAGGGACTCTAGAAAAGGTGAAGACCACTGGTAAAAGTGAGGGCCTCTAAAGAAGGTAAGGGCCTCAGATGAAGACGTCAGGCCTGAACATCGGGCCTTGAGCAGAACGTTGGGCCTTCAGCAAAATGTCGGGCCTTCAGTAGAACGTTGGACCTGAATATCGGGCCTTTAGTAGAACGTCGGGCCTGAACATCGGGCCTGAATGTCGGGCCTTGAGATGGTGGTGCGGCGAAACTCTAGTGGTGGTTCGGCGAGGCTCCGACGGTGATTCGGCGACGCTCCGGCGGTGGTTCAGCGGTGGTCCGGCGAGGCTCTGGCGGTGGTCCGGCGAGGTTCCGGTGGTGGTCGATGAGGAGCTTCTTCCTTCTCTTCCTTCTCTTCTCCTCTTCTCTTCTTGCTTAGATCTCCTCTTGTGAAGAATGAGGGCTCTATTTATAGATTTTCTGGAATGGCATGGCCCGTAAATAGGCATGAGATCAGGGGCGAATAGTGAGTGGTCGAATGGACGGCCGATATTGAGCATGACGTATCAATAAGTTTGCGCATTTTATCCACCGCTCATCTTAGCAATTCCAAAAAATATTTAATATACAAATTTTGTAATGTTGAATTTTATTGATATTTTTAAAGATTTAAATCAAATAAATTTACTAGTATTCATAAAGTTAATTACTTTAATTGATGAATAAAGTTAAAATATTTTAATATTTTAAAATAAAATTTATTTACTTCAAATTTATATATTTCTAATGCGGATAATTCTCCAAAAAAATTTATTAAATAAAAAACAAATATTTGTTTGAAGAGAAAAATAAGGAGAAAAGACTATTGGCTCAAGCACGGAAGAACATATTAAATGTGTTGAGATGAGCGGTGGAATGAACTAGCTTAAACTTATGTTAATATAATATATTTTTTATTTATTTGTATTAGTGAGAAATTAAAAATTAAAAAATTTCAGAATTAATTTAATATAAAAATAATATTTTGATGTAGCAAGACATACTACAGTAATTTTTTTTTTTAATGCTGACTAGACAAGTAAGTCGCCTGTTAAACGGGCTACCTTGCGTATTTTTAATTTTTTTAAACATGTTTAAGCTCTTAATACAATTTATAATTATGCTTAGTCTTAAAATTTTTCTCATTTTATTTCTCTCAAATTGATGAAATTAATATTAAATCAAATAAAAGTAAATCAATTAAAGTAAATATATTAATTCAAATGTAACCAATTAAAGTTGCAGTTGAATCGAACCAAAATTGAGTCAAATTTGAATTAATCAGATTGTCGGGCTAAACTTAAGTTGAAATTTGATTTATTTAATGAGATCGAGTCGACTCTATCTAAAAATTAAGAAAACATGGGTGATAGTTCGATAGTAGCAATTAGGCGGTTGCATGATAATAATGGTTCAACAGTGATGCTCAAGTGGAACTCTAATAAGCTAAGGTCATCTCCCCTTGATGTAAAGTTTGGATGCCTATTATAATTTTTTGATATTGGCATACCCTTTAAATATAACCAAATCCTTAGCTAATCTTGATCATAGATCATTCCTTCAACTTTTAAGTGCATTAATAATGTCAAAATTAACTGATCTTAACTCATTGTCATCTCATCAAGACATTAGATTTGACTATAAGCATGTAAAATTTGAAGATTTGTTGGACATATAATTAATAACATGAAGTTTTTAACTATACTTCCAAATGCTTAATCTAACCTCTTTTGAACTTGGATCAATTCACTTTTGGTATCAATGGGTTCATCTCTTTAAAATATTTAATTTTGCTATAAAAAGCAAAAATTAGAATTTTGATCATCCTGAAATTAATATGCAATGAGATTCATACTGGATCAAGGCAATTTTGATGAAATATCAAGAACTTTTATGTTGATGATTTTTCCTGATGTAGATGGAATCAAAGAAAATTCCTAGATGACATTAAGGCTACATAAAAAATTCGCAATTTGAAACTCCTTCGCATTATTGTTTAGAAATTGGATCAACTTGAAATCGACTCAACCAGTTTTGAACACCACTCCATAATCGAAATTGATTTTGAGTTTGCTTTAGCTGGCTTAAATATAATATTTTTTGGGACATTTAAACCAATTAAAGTAGACTTACACACACATCGCATACACAAGACCTCTTACTTGGTGGCTTAAGCTCCCAACCAATATACCAAAATGAGCTGTGTGCTTATTTTCTTTTAATTTATTTTCTTTTCTGCATTTTTGCCATAGATAATCTGATAAATACATACATTAAACTTATTAACAATCTGATCTCAAAAGTTGATTCAATATTGACTCAACATAAGCTGAAAGCTTGTCAAGCTATAATTTGTTTTAAGCTTGCTCAATCTAATCACCAACAGCTATAAATTTAATTTTTTTTTCAATGGAATGAGAACTTTCTGCCCTTTACCTCTATTGTTATGAGCATGTAGCTGTGCAATAAGAATTTTTAACATTTCTATGGAATATGGTGATTTTAGTAATATTGGAAGAAATCCCTCTTTGATCCAAAATCTTCGAGAAATATTTATTAATTGAGATGTTAAGCAAATTATTTCAACGAAATACATTACCATAGAACCTTATGCAAAAAAAGGAGACCAAAATAGTTAAATTTCATAAATAATATGCTAAAGATGTGTTGTTCTGTCGTTTGAAGACTTGAGGAAGATGTTTCTGATCGCATTTAATTCATTAAAAGCTTGTGCCATTTGTATTCTTTCTGTTGGAGATTCCTCTGAGCAATGAAGACCAACTGTAAGCACTGAGATAATGCAGTCCAATTCAAACTTGCTTACAACTTTCATGCGCCGAAGGCCTTCCCCAACTTCATCATCTTCCTCCTGTAAAAGCAAATAAGGATCCACAATATCCATTGCCCTTTCAGGTAGAGAAGCCTTGACAAATAGATGAAGGGTGAGACCTTCATTGAATGTTTCCTCAATTGGTCTCCTTCCAGTAAACAACTCCAGTAGAATTATTCCAAAGCTATACACATCTCCTTCAACAGAAATGTTGTTGGCCGCTCCATATTCTAGTTGTAATCACATGTTAGAGAAAATAATTAATACAAGGTATAAAAATTGTTTTACCAAGTGCATGAAGATAGATACCTGGTGCTGCATATCCGATGGTTCCTTTCAATGCAATAGAGCTAGTAGAAGTTTGGGAGGATTGTTTTGTAGTATCAATAAGGAGCCTTGCTAAACCAAAGTCACTTACATGTGCAACCATGTCTTCATCAAGGAGAACATTACTTGGCTTGAGATCACAATGAACGATTGGTATAGGTCCATGATTGTGAAGATAGTCTACAGCAGAAGCTACATCAATAAGTATATTTATTCTTTGGATTATGGTTAATTTTTTTGGTCTATTATTGTCAAATATTGATGGTTGATGCAACCATTTATCCAAATTGCCATTTGACATGTACTCAAAAACTAAGGCTTTGAAATCATTGCCTTCATGGTTAATGCTCGAGCATGAAGTTAATATCTTTACAAGATTTCTATGTCGAACATTTCTCAATGCCTTGCATTCCAATTCAAAGCTTTTAGAGGCTCCTCTTTGTTGGAGATTGAGAACCTTTATGGCGATGCTTTTTTGCCAATTGTGATCCAAATTTCCAATGTAGACAGAACCAAAACTTCCTCTTCCAATTAAATTGTGTGATGAGAACCCATTAGTCGCTCTTCGGAGCTCAGCATAAGAAACTTGTACATGATTATGATCTTTCTCAAGTCTCTCTATCGAAGGAAGCTTTTTTGACTTTCTCCTCCTCCATATTGAAAGGACAAATAATAGAATGATACAAGTTATTAGTATGACCGTTGCTATTAGCATAGTTAAAGTGTGATTCTTCCTTGAGACTTGATTATTCTCGAGGCATGGTGGTAGCTTTAATTCAACAATACCTCCACAAAGTTTGTCATTTCCATACACTGAAAATGCACTGCTATTCAAAAAAACACCATTTTTTGGAACTTCTCCTTCAAGATGATTGTAAGAGAGGTCTAAATTTTGAAGGGATTCGAGGAATTTGGGTATTTTTCCAGATAAATTGTTATGTGAAAGATTAAATAACTCGAGGCTTTTTAATGCTTCAAGAGATGATGGAATGTTCCCTTGAAACAAGTTATTGTCCATGTAAAGATATTTGAGTTGCACGCATTGAGCAAGATTGCTAGGAATTTGGCCTGATAATTTGTTACTAGACAAAGCGAGATATTCAAGATTTACTAAGAGGCCAACATCGATAGAGAGCAATCCAGTCAACAAGTTGTTTGACAAGTCAATACCAAGAGATAGAGAAGTAATGCTAAGGATTTCTTTTGGTATGGGGCCCATAAAATTATTGTATTGAAGGTACAATTGCATTAGTTGCTTACAACTTCCAAGATTAGAAGGAATATGCCCACTCAAATCATTGTGATCTAAATAAAGAATATCCAGCATTGAAAGGTTGCCAATGTTGTATGGAATTTCACCTGAAAGTCCATTGCCACGTAAATCCAATCGTTGTAATGAGGTCAACTTTTCAATCCCCACGGGAATGGTGCCCCAGAGATTATTTGGTCCAAGATTTAACAAGTTAAGACCAATGAGGTTCTCTATCTCTATAGGTATGTTTCCAGATATTTTGTTCCAGCCTAATCTGAAATATGCCAATGTTGTAGTTAGATTTACAATTGATTGAGGTAACATTCCTTCTAATTCATTCGAAAATAAATCGAGCGAGTTCAAATTAGTGCAATTGGTTAGTGCTACAATGAAGGACCATTCTTTGATGTTTCTTGCTTGCAAGTTATTTGCACCTAATAATACATTAGATAGGTTTTTTAAATTCCCTATATTAGTATGTATGGGTCCATCAAAAAAATTTTTAAAAAGTTGAAGTAACTCTAATTTAGAGGAGTTGAACAAGGAGGCTGTAATGGGCCCATGAAGATTGTTATCTGAAAGGCGAAGATATTTAAGAGAAGGAAGAGTTTTCATTGGTAAAACACCAATTAAATTGTTATTTTCTATGCCTAAGTCTATGAGAGATGTGAGGTTCCAAAGAGAATCTGGGATAACTCCACTAAGCTTATTATATCCTAGATCTAACATAAGTAACAATCGTAGACTTCCTAAAGATGGTGGTATGTTTCCATACAAGTTGTTAAAACGGAGAGAAAATACATTAAGTTTTAATAGATGTCCTAAAGAAGAGGGAATCTCTCCTGTGAGATTAATTTGACTCAAATTTAGTGAAGTGAGAGAGGTGAGATTGCCAAAGCATGGTGGGATGCCACCTTGAAGGTTGTTGATACCTATATTTAGGCCAGAAAGAGATGAGAGGTTGCAAAATGAAGGTGGAATTGATCCTGAAAATTGATTATTGCTCAAATCAAATATTTTTAACATAAGAAACTCTCCAATAGATGGAGGAATAGCACCACTGAAATGATTGATGCCCAAGTACAGTTCTTGCAAATTGACCAGCTTCTCAATTCCAAAAGGAAAACCTCCATAGATTTGGTTTTCCTCCAAATCTAAATATTTAAGATGCACTGAAAGATTGGTGACTGAGATAGGAAACAGGCCTGTCAAGCTATTCTTTCCCAATCCAAGAAATTTTAAATTACTGCAGTTTGTCAAAGCAGTCAGAAAATTCCAATCTCCCTCCTTCATGGCTACCAACTTGTTGTTATGAAGCAACAGCACTTCTAAACCTTTTAAAGCTCCAAAACTTGCAGGTATTATGCCAATAAGATTGTTTGAATTGAAATCAATGAATCTAAGCATAGTGCAGAGGCTAAGATTTGAGGGGATCTCACCATCAAGCATATTGTACTTTAAACTAATAATTTGCAAAAGAGAGCACTGGGAAAGAGTGTGAGGAATCTCACCTACAAGTGAATTGTGGCTTAGATTAAGAAGCCGAAGATTAGAAAGAGAGCCAAGCTCATGTGGAATGGATCCAGATATTCTAGTTTCGGAGATGTGAAGCTTGTAGAGGAAGGAGAGGTTTCCCAAAGATGGAGATAAGAAACCAGCCAAATCAAAGCCTAAAAGTTCTAAGGCTGACACTCTGGCTTCATTACTACTGTGATTACTGCAAGTCACACCTAGCCAATTGCAAAAGTGCAGAGAGCTATTTCCCCAAGAGGCTAGTGCTCCATCAGGGTCATATGTGATGTGAGATTTGAAAGATAAGAGAGCAACTGCATCTCCTGAACTTTGAACTGATGAGATTATAAAATTTTGTGGGAAGAAGAGAATTAAAAGGAATGAAGAATAAATTCTGAGCCAAATTGTTAGAGCCATGGATCTCTATGTTTACTGTAGATGTGAACTAGCAGGAGATATTCTATATATATATACATATAGACGTATAAATGGAGAAAGAAGGAGCTTGGCCATGAAGCATCTCAGATTGACTTGATCCCTTCACGCCGGCCATTAAATATATTCCATCTGCAATTCAGCAAATAATTTTGAATTTCTTGCAGTCCAAACAAAAAAAAAAGCCTTCGGCTTACTTGATTCTTTCGAGATACCTTTATCCAGAAACCCTAAAACATACAAAATAAACGGATAGTGGCTGCTCGGACTGTTTGCGCTGTCCCGACGTCACCAACACCTCCTCGCCCCGCCCAAGTTGATGTTTTAATAGGAAGAAGAAGAAGTCTCGGTGGCCGAGCAATAAAGAATGCACCAAACAGGCTGAAGGGAGTCCCTGAAAACGTGAGAAGGTCAAAGCTATTCCCTCTGTTCGGCAACAGCCCGTGCCCGTGTCTTCCTTTCTCCAAGCCGAACTACGCTGAGAAGGACTCCCTAAGCTCCTCTCCTCCTACGGTTTCAACCAGCCGAGAGCAACCAAAGCTCTCAGCCGAACTACCCTAGTGATTTTTTTCCATCTCACGCTCTGTTTAGTTTTCTGGAGAAGCCCCGAACACGGGGAGAAATTATTGGGTTTGGACACTAGACTTGTTCAATGAAAATGGGCTACATCACCTATTATTTGATATTGAGCTCAGTAGTCAGTACTGAGCAGTACCAAGCAAAGCAGTACCGAGCTAGGTACTACTCAGTACTGCTCGGTACTCAATACTTCATAGTACCGAGCTCAGTACTGCTCGATACTGTGAATACCGAATGTAAGTTGTGTCAGGTGTCCGAACCCAATAATCTCCCGAACACAAGGAAGGAGAAGAGTTACCTCAGTTTTTCCCGGTCGCTGGTGGGCATCCCACAGCCCGACAACACAGTACCCATACCCATGCAGCCACCTATACCCAATGTGCATGAATGAGTATAGACCTATGACCTCGTGGGTGGATATGAGTGGGTATTCAACATCAATGGATAAATCAATTTACATTGTTAATCACCGTATGCAACATATTACTGTAATCTTACTAAGCAGTGCACAGTACTAAACTGTGTTGCGACCATGATAAATTTTGATATGGGGCTTGAAAGTTTGTATTTAGATCAACGGGCAACAAGTTTCAATGTCATCAGACGGATTACATTCAAAAAGTGTATGGGTGGATAAGTCTTCCTGAAAGTCACCATAAGTGGACATAAGTGGGCGAACCCAAGATACCCAACCAGTATCCCATGTAGGGCTTTACTCAATGGTTACAAAAACTCTGTTTTAAGAAGTAATAAAAAAGTCATCCCAAATGAAGGCTTATGGACGACTTTCTTACTGATTCTTAAAGCAATTTTTTAGTACCAAAATTTTAAAAAAGCCAGGTAAAGCACAGTCAAAACCCACTCAAAGCACAACTAAAACACAATCAAAGCGCAATCAAAAGCGGCAACTTTTTATTGGAGGTCCAAATCTATTGTGCGTCCAATGACCAGATGCAATAATTTGCCCTTTCTTTGGGACAACTTTCCTATTTTTCTTAAAACCGATTATTGATAAAAAAAAATTAGAATTTTTATATAAAAACCTGCTTTAAGCAGCAATAAAAAAATTATCCCAAATAAAACCTTAATTGTTTACAACTTACATGATTGGAAGATATATATCCACTAAAATTATTGTCATACAAATAAAGAATATTCAAATTATTTTACAGTATATTTATTAATTTACACATTTAATATTTAAAACTTTATATTTATATATATAGTATCAAAATATTTAAGTCAATCAAAAAGACATAAATAAAAAAAAAATACATTTATTTTAGATAAATTAATATTAATCATATGTTAAACAAGCTTTAAAAATTAAAAATATTATATAAAAAAATCTAAATATTTCTACATCAGATATGCTAGCCAGTACATATTCTCTTTCCTTCAGAATGTCTCTCAATCAAATGGATATAACTAATTTGTAGTCAAATATACAAATACACTCAAGGCATGAATAATATAAACATTTGAAGTAAACTAAGGCTTTGAATACATCAAAGCAGGAACAAACTGGTTCTCAAGCTCCATCTTCATGTTTGTTGGCTCAAGATCAACTGCCATTGTAGCTTTCTCAGATGCCTGGAATACAATAACAGGACCATTTCATACATCTAAGCTGTATCATATGATGTGCTACAGTAAAAAATAGATATATAATGTGCTACAGAAACTTTGGATCATGAATTCTATATTAATCTGCTGGATTTAAAGATTAGTGATGCAGAAGTAAATTTAATAGATATAAGACACCTTCAGCAATGGCAGATCCTCAGCCATAGGCTCCGCACCTTTGACAAGTTCTGAGGCAACTCTAAGAGCATCCTGAAGACATCCACAGAATGGCTAAGTAATGGGAGAAAGATCAAGCAATTGATTCTGTTCTAACAGGTAGACAGTCAAATGTGAAAAACTAACATTCTACGACCCATCCATAAAATCATGAGACAATAAGATATAATCATATAGTTTTTTTTTTTTTTTGGGTGATGAGGAACCGTCTGCTGCCACGTCCGGCTTTGTCGAGCGTGCTTGGCGATCTGTAAACCCCGGCTGCCCACACCACTGTACCTGTAGCCGGCGCTTAGGGACCTCAACTGAAGGGGCGCTGCCGCTCAAGGGGGATCGAACTCGGGATGGGGGGTTCCCATCTGAGCACGCCCATCAACCAAGCTAAGCATCGGTGGGTTAATCATATAGTTTCAGTTAGGTGCAAAGGCAATCATTCAAGAAAACAGTATGAAAACAGAGATTTGCCTAAACAGCCAAATATCTGGAAATAGGGAGAAAGCCATGGTGATGGTATGATATGCCTAGCAAAATATAATATTATCAAAAGGGTTATATAAATCAATTCCACCACAAAATCAGCTCAGGAAAAGATATGCAGCAATTAAGCAATTCCTAAGAAAAAAAATCTTTTGCACCTTGAAAACTTTATTAGATGCACTAGAGTGAACTTGAACTCCATTATGCCGTCAATGAAAAAGTATTGCCCGGTGCAGGCTTCATTTGGGATGGCTTTCTTACTGTTTCATAAATCAACTTTTTAGTACAAAAATTAAAATTTTTATACTAAAAAGCTGCTTTAAGAAGTAGAAAGAAAATAGTCCCAAAAAAAGCCTCAAACTTCATATGTCCGTTAGAATAGCACCTAAAAACAATCCTTCTTGCTTTTAAAATTTTAGAGTTGAGAAGAAGTCTTCATAATATGTCAAAGACAATAGCTTTCCTGTTAGAATTCTCAAAGACCTTGAAACTTTTTGAAAGTTTACATTTCACTATGAAACAGCATAAGAGAAATAATGAGAACCAAAGAGTACAACATCAAAGTGACAGGAAATGTAAATATCTTCTTATAGTGATGACATCTTTTGAAAAAGACATGTTCCGAACTTCCGATTCAATAGGTTGCATGCAAAAACCTATATATAAGTTGACCTTATTTCACACAGCCAAAAGTATTATTCAGTTTACAAATTTCTATCCATTAATAAAAAAAGACATTAAGATTTTTATATAAGAATCGAAATAAGTTAAAAGAGTTACCTGATCATTCAATTCATTTTCAAAATTTTCCCTTTTAATTTTGACACTCTGGATATTGTTTGAAACAAATTTTCTGCAAGAAAGTGTGATCCGTTAGAAGACAATAATGGTAATGTATGATGACAGAAGTATCTAGAGAGGGGTTCATGAAAGAGAAAAAAGAGAGAGAAAGAGAAAGAATGGGAGGTCGAGTTTAGGTTGTCAAAGATGAAGAGATCACCGAGGTAATTCATCTAGATGCCTCATATCATCCATGTCCATATAAGAGTCTGGATCATTCCTTTCATCTGGATCGTCCTGATATTCATCTGGCTGTAAATAGACAATAAATTAAACACAACCCACTGAGTCATAAAACCAAATTTCATGAGCAATTCAAATTAAACACAAACAAAGGTAACATCTCCTTTGATGGACCGAGTAGTTCCTACTCTTAGTTGAAGCTCTCCAATGTCCTATACTAGCCAGGAGGGGGTCTAATATACTCTTAGTATTCAGTGACAAATACCAAAAAAGCAATTAAAAAGACCTCAACAGTGTTAGCACTTACATAATCATTATTCACACTTCCAAGTAATTTCACACAAGATATGACAGACAAACGTTTCCGCATAGGAGATATGGGGAGGATAAGTTTCACTACAATGTGACATCAGGATAATATCAGCTAACCACTTAGGCTTCATTTGGGATGACTTTTTTATTGTTTCTTAAAGCAACTTTTTAGTTAAAAAGTTTTAATTCTTATATTAAAAAGCTGCTTTAAGAAGCAGTAAGAAAGCTGTCCCAAACGAAGCCTTAGTTTATTTTCGCCCGTAGCAATGTTTAGCCCGATCCGCATTCCCATCAAAAAACAATGAGATGGTCATAGATATGCCAATGCGGTTGTTTTTAATTAGACAGAGTAGTGGAGCTGATCAAGGAAATTGAGCTTAGAAATTCGCTCTAGTTTTCAAAAACTAGATGGAAGAGAGTAAGCAAAAATTATTAAACTTCAAGCAATGGAGAAATGATTAAATAATGTAAAGGAAAATGTGTGTTAAGCCAGAAAGATTGTATGAGAGGTGGAAGAAGTAACGAGGCAATCCCATATCCATATAGCTAGAAAAGCTCGTCCAATGGGTGATCATCAATTGGCAGTAGACAAACTATCAGTTATTGAGATAACTCATAGATGATGCCTAATATGAAAGTAAAAGTACAGTATATTTCTTATATATATATATATATATATTTATGTCTAGAATTACTTCCCGAACTGGAAATTTTATGAAAAAGTGTTCCTTGATGTGCCTAGATTCTTTTACTATAAGCTGTTAGCGTAAATTAGACCATTTTAAATGAGAAAACCTTTGAAAGTTATACAGAATATCACAATTAAAAGAATTACAACTAAATAGAGGAAAATCAGAGTGCGACTAGAAGATTCTGGCATTGAATAGAATTATTACCTCAGGAAACTCTGTATCTGGAGGACGTTCTTGAAACGGGACGCTGGGAGCATGCCGGAGTCTAGAAAGATTATCTAGAAGTTTTGATCGTATATCTTCTAGCATTTGCCTGGAATTTTTGTTCTCCATGTTACTTGGTGCAACATGAAGAGTGTAATCTGGACCAAAATATTCATAATATTCATGTACAGGCATCTTGTCATCAACTTCAATACCAAGAGCAACTCCTGTCTGTTCAAAAGGGGGAACAAAGCCAATCAGGCAATCGATTCAAATGCACAATTACCACCAAACAAAATATATAATCCAACATATCTCAAAAAGAAATCTTTTCAACAACAAAGCTCTCCAATCAAACATAAAATAATAAATTCAATCTGAATGTTTAAACCGTCCAGTAGTAGAGAACATAGATCCTAAAAGGCAAAAAAAAAAAATTGCAGTTTTATAGATGAAGTTGGAAAACAAATGTCAAGGCTGGTTGCATTGACATCTTGGTTGTAATATAATCTTCATAACAAATGAAAATGGTTTGTTCCGCTAGAATCTTAATTGCCTGTACTATGATTTTGATGATGCAAGATAAAAGCTATGTTTGGGATGGTTTTTTTATTGCTTTTAAAACGACTTTTTATTACAAAAAATTAAAATTTCTATACTAGAAAGCTGCTTTAAGAAGCAGTAAAAAAGCCGTCCCAAACGAAGCCAAAGTCTGGGTTAGAATCTTCTGATTTAAATAATATGATGTATAGCATAGATTTCTGCAAAAAAAATTGATGATTCATAATCACAAGCCACCAATTAATTCAACAACTTGTTTTCTTTACATGCAAATAGCAATACTTGAATTAAAACCCAATCAATCATAAAATTAATTTGATAAATTCAGTGATGATATAGAATAACATAAAATGAGAGAGTAATGGTAATTTAACTTTTAAAAATTGGATTTCTAATGTATAAAATTTAAATAAAATCAAGAGCACTAATCAAGTCAATATCAAATTATGGCGATAAAATAAGATCAAGAAACAAAAGTATCAAAATGAGATAAATCCTGCCCCATGTCAGTACATGCAAAAATCTTCCCACTCTTTGTAAGCTTTCAATCTCCCATCTCCATAAACTCTGAACCAGCTCCCACCACCCCTCACAAGCCCCGCACTCCATATCGCTTGTCTTCAAACTCTACGCACCATTCCTACCATCTAATCACATCCTAAACTACTAATAATCGAGCCCTCTCGCTCTCCTAATCCTCGCAAATAATCACCTCAACCCTCAACATATCTCAAACTCCAAACAAAACTACCCTATTAGCAATTTTCTTCTACATAGTTCTAAGCACCTATAAAAGTCCCATCCTTTCTAAGCCAATCCAAGCCAAAAGCACATCCTTTAGCTTCCTTTCATCAAGACTACACCAAATAAAAATAGTCATCCATCTTCGATAATTCCATCACCTACCACTCCATCAATTTAGTATCAACGTATCAAAGCAAACACGGGAAATAACAAGGACACAAGGTATAGCAACATTTCATCAAGAAGTTGGCTTTAGCAATTGAGAAGGTTGGTAAGAAAATTATTTGTTAGTGGTTATTCTTATTGCTTGATAAAGGAGCATACACCACCAAAATTTATTCCTGAGCTTTCATTCATTGTGCAAGTTAGCTGATACCCATTAAGAAATTCAAGTATTCCCTTCATCAATCATTTAACAGCATGAGAGATACATTCAATTTGATGAGGAAGTAGAATACTACAACAACAACAACTAGCCTTTATCCTACTATGTGGGGTCGGCCACATGATGACGAGAGAGTACAATAATCAAATGAATTTTTTTGCTTAACAAAATGAAATTCCAAGTACAACTTTTTTGATAGTGTTCTGATTCCATTGAAGGAATTCCTTCATCATAACTAATAAAAGGAATGCTTGACACTCTCTCCATTGCCAGTAACCTTGCCTTAAATATAACTTATCAAATATCAAACAAACCTCCTGCAATTGCAATTCAAGGTCAATATGCTTCTATTACTTCCCCAATAATAGTAAGTACTTGCAAAAATTTTAATTCACTCCCTTGCAGGAGCCACATGTGCAGGTTGATCCTCTTCAACCTTTTATGCAACTTAAAAAAATCATAGCCATTTTAAGATGGAGGGGTTAGTTGAATGCAAGTGAAGAGACCAATTTCAAACAAGATAATAAACTTTGCGGAACTTTTCTACAGTTCAAAGAAAAAGTCAAAGTTAAATGGATGATCTTGTCATGACAAATGTATCAAATCATGCATGCATAATTTAAATAAATTTCTAGAATTTCTATTTCAATTTTGTTATGTATTTTCACTGAAATTACAAGTTGAGATGTATTCGACATGCAAAAGTGGCCATGCAACCATCAACTTCATTCTAAACCATGCAAATTTCATCAAATGCAAACTAAGCTAAAAAAACAACCCATGCATGGATTCAAATCTTTTGGCTGGCCAACAAAGAAACTCAAGGATCAAGGCTCTCAACATTCTTATTACTCTCCCAAGGTTCATGCAAAAGGAAATTGAAGTGGCCTTTTAAATTTCCAAAAGGCCTGTATGGAGAGTGGTTCGTCCCCCTTGATTCCTTCAAACCATCCCCATTAGTTTATTGTCTCTCTATCTTCTATACAATTTTTATTTTCTTTTCGATATAATGTCTATATATGAATGATGTAAAATGAAGTGTAGGAATTTGCGGAGGAATGAAATGTTCATAAGTTATCTTCTTGTTGGAGGAAGTTTAGCAATCCAATCCTTAGAGTTTAGTTTGTGACAACTCAATCTCACTCCTTTAGTGAGGATTGATTTACCTCTTGTTCTATACGTTTACTTTATTGATTCATCAACTTTTACATCTCCTCTCATGTTTTGGGATCTCCTTTTACACATTCACCATCCCATGCAATAGTCATCCCACTCTTTGCAAGCCAACAACCTCCCTTTTTCATGAACCAAAAATCAGTTCCTACCTCCCCTCACAAGCCTCCATGCACCATATGACTCTCCAAAGGTTCATGCATACAAATTAAAGTGGGCTTATCAGATTTCCAAAAGAAACATGCATGGAGAGTGGTTCATAAACTATAATTTCATCATTCCATCACCCACCACTCCATCAGATGAGCTTATATTGTACCCAAAGAAATGACACATGCAACTTGCACTCAAAATTGAATACTAAAAAGAGAGATTGTATTCAACCATAGTTCCCCATTATATGCCTCAAAACATCTATTTATAGAATTCGCATCCCAGGCCTGTAAATATGATTGGCTTCAAATAAGCTCTATAAATTTATTTTTATAATAAGTGGTAACCGCAATTTGAAATGACCTGAAATTCCCATCTACACCAAAACAACCATCATGCCATGAAAATAGAAGCCCTCAAGTCACAATCAAAACACACAAGCCTAAAAAAAAAGCACATAACACCCTTAAACCTCAATTCACAGGATCTAGATAGGCAATTGAAACTGCAAGCCACAACTCCTGCAATAGATTGGGGTGCAAGCCTTGCATAACAAAACCTAAGGATAAATCCAAAGCATCACCCATAATTTCAAAAGACAAGGCCAACAACCAATACCCAAGCAACATAACAACCACTACCCAAACAGACTAAAGGAAATAATCCAAGAATCATAGCTTCATAAATCTAGAAATCGAAAAACTACACACACCAACTACTACACCACCTCCCCCAACGCCATAGAAGAACAAAGCTGACAAGACCGACATATTCACCACACTTACTTGTGGAACTTAGCTTAAATCAAATTAAGATTGAAACAAACTCAACTCATACAAATTAGCCTACTACTTAGTAATAAAAGCCATCCCTACCTCTGATTCCCAATACGTTGAAGAAATTAACTTGATAGCTAACAAAAATGAGAAAAAAGATCACTGCTACAATCACCATAAATCGCAATAGATAGTATATAATTCTATTTAAGACAGTAACACCTCAGCAAATAAACACAATTGATAGATTGTTCAAGAAATGTTGCAATCTAGCTAGCATTGAACATGCAATGATAATGAGCCACTTAGTGTAATGTAAGAAAAGGATGTCTTAGCTCAAAAGCGCTTACATAAAAACTAATATTAGAAAATCAAAATTACATGGAAACCAATAAATATGTAGAATGACCTTTAAGCAAATTATAATGTACTAAACAGATGAATCAATATTTCCATTGGACTTAGAATGCTTAGGAAATCACATTAGAAAACTGAATGTTGCAAAACGGTAGCATGAAAATTTTCCTCCCAAAAAGCGCGAATTATATGAGAAAAAAAATAGATGTTGCCAAATTAGAGGTTTTTTTAAAGAGAATGTTTTCTTCTACAATACCTCATAGCACCAACAGCGAGCAACATTCCTAATTGTGTATCCGCCACCACCAAGTAATAAAATGGGCACATTAAAGGATCTCATATATCTAACACATTCCGCGTGCCCTTTTATGGAAAGGTTAAAGCAGCCGAGCCTATCTCCAGATAAGGAGTCAGCGCCGCACTGAAGAACTACAGCACCAGGCCTAAACACTTCCATCACTTTTCCCATGATGGGTTTGAATAATGAGTGATAACTCTCATCATCAATTCCATCATCAAGTGGAACATTAAGAGAATAGTACTTCCCTTTCCCATACCCAATGTCACGCACATCTCCTGTTCCAGGAAAATAGTCCCCAAATTTATGAAATGAAACTGTCATTACCCTGTCAGTTGTATAGAAGGCCTCCTCAACACCATCTCCATGATGGATATCAATGTCCACATACAGAACACGCTGCAATATGGAAGAAAAAATAAGGAAATATCAGTGAAATGGCGCTACTAAAGTAGTTGCATGGGATTCCTAAATAAGTTCAAAAGTAACACACAAACTTACAACAATCGCAATAATAAAATGATGCAAGCAAATATAGAGACTGATGAAGGAAATTGCAAATCAAATATGTAGAAAGATCATTTGCAAATATGCATGAACTGGTCAAAGATGCAAGAATCTTAGACCGCTGGGCGTGAACAGATCAGAAAGAGAACTTGCTCAAGTAAATAATAGCTCACGAGCCAAAGTAACCAACTATGCTTATAATTTCAAAAAATATATTTTAACTTTTGCAAAGACTCATATAAACTTCTGTATGATCTACAAGTCTAATTCTCTCATCAGAATGATTAGTTATTGAACATAGCAATTAACAGGGTAAGTTGAGTTTAGCTCATCTTACTATATGATGTTTCCTTGCTTGAACTCAAATATAATGATTTTTTTTTTTATTTTTTTTTTGCATTATTAAAAGAAACATGTTTAGCAACAAACTTGAAAGTTTTCAAATTTTTTGCCTAGGCTTAAAATACTTTAGTCTCACCAATATATCATTTTGATTGCCAATTTTAGTAAAATATTAGATTTGGAAAAAAGACCAAAATGGTCCCTTGACTCTTATGAAGGACCAAAATAATTTTGGTCCATTTCTCTATTAGATATTTAGCAAAAGTCAAAGACATTTCCAGGCTTACAGCCACTGCTACAGACTTGTAGCCCAAGGTTTTGGAAATAATAATAATGAAAATGATAATAATCTTTGCACATATACAAATATGAGAATTCAACAAATCAAATGTGTCAAACTTCTAGTTATTTCAATCTTAAATTAATCGATCATCTTCATTCATAGAGAAATAATCACTCATTACGGCCTATATTGTTGTGTCCAGTGATTTAACCAAGTAAGTACCATGATAGACCAGTCAAGGTAATTACAAAGTTCAAACAAATACCATTCAATATAACAGAAGACCAAGCCATAACCCAAGCTTCAGCTTATTGTGACTCTTGCAAAGCTAATTACATCTCCAAATGTCAATGATTCATTAAGCTCCTTGTTCATTGGATTATATAAGGATAATTTTATTCAGAACAAAAGCAGTTAGACACAATAAACAAGACAGATCAACAGAACCTTGGGTTTTAATCTAGCATAGGAACATCTTACTACATGATTAGAACTCGTTCGTAGATGCCCATCAAAAGGGACTTGCAAAATGAGTAAATTTCCAAAAAATCATAAAATCCACTGCTGCATTAAATGGCAAGAATAGATGAGCCTCATAACGCCTAATTTCAGTGGTCATTAAGGTTTATGTGCTTCTAAATTCTTCTGATTAAATCTTGTGAGAATTACAACCTGAAAATTGTTTGGCACAAAGATAGTTAAATCTTATAGAATCATGTTAAATTGTTTGACGGTTTATTTCAAAATGTAAGAATTATGAGAGGAAAAATCCTTAAATCCTGTAAATGATAGGATTAATAAACCCTAGCTTTTACAAATAATAGGCTTCAGATAGATTTATCAAAACAGAAGGATTTAAAAGTCCGCAAACTTTATATTTCAAGATATAATCTAAATGTTGCTTAAATAATGTCTAAAATAGGATACCAAAGTCCCTAAATTCATTTTATTTTCATCCCAATTATCATAAATATCCTTATCCCAACTATTTGGGGTATGCTTAATGAATCCACATTCATTTACTTGAGATGTTAATTCTTATATTGTACAAACTATTTGGTAAACACCAACCCATGTTATCTTTGGTGAATCTATTTACCTACTTAATCCTTCCACATTTTTTTACTCTTCTTATTGGTGCATCATCTACCCTTATTTTGCATGTCAAAGTCACCATAGTCTATTTTCTCCAATTTATTTTCAATAGGTGTCACTCTCACAATTCCTCTGGTAAAATCCTATCTTAACCTGATCTTCCTAGTTGTAATACAAATACATCTCAAAATCCTTAGTTTCATACATAAGTAAAAATATCCAGAAGCCAATAACACTACACGGAAAGGATAAATATTGTAAATTGCGATGCGAGTTCATGATATGTTGAGAAATTACAAGAGAAGAAGCTAAAGAGCTAGCGAAGAAACAACACCTCGTGCTTTTTTAGGAGCTCAAGAATGGCTAGTACAATATCATTCACGTAGCAAAACCCCGACGCCTCACATTTCTTGGCATGGTGAAGACCGCCCGCCCAATTGACGGCAATATCATGCCCATGGTTGAGTTTCACAGCACCCCCAACCGAACCTCCTGCATAAGTCTGACAGAAGCTGTACAGACCATCAAAAACAGGACAGTCCTCGCCAACATTGAACCGCTTAAGAGCTCGAATTTGATCCTGCTGCGTCTCCGGCGTGATGGACCGGAGGAAGGAAACATAGTCGTCGGCGTGAAAGCGACAGAGGTCGCGTTCCCGAGCTGGATTCGGCTTGTAGACCTGCATGTGCTGTAAAAGACCGTAGTGCGCAAGCAACGCGTGGGTCATACGGATCCGATGCGGTTTCATCGGGTGACCTTGTCCGTAGTAGTAATTCCCCACCTCAGAGTCATAGAAGTAGCATACCTTGCGCTTCGTCGCGTCCGGCCCAGACGCCAGCGAGTTCCCGCTGCCGTCCATGCCGATATTGACGACGACGACGCCGCCGCCGACGCCGGAGTAAGAAAAAAGGCTTCTTTTTTGAGAAGTTTTCTCTTTTTGTTGCGCAGCAGTAGAACTTTCTCAACTTTGGAAACCCTAACCCTAACTACTGGAAGATTACGCGGCAACGAGGTGAGAGCAGCGGGAAGATCCACTCGGGCCTGAAGAAAAGAAATTCCAAGTTCTCCTACTGCATCTGGAAAAGGGTAGATTTTTTTAACCTATCATAAATTTGTATATATTTATGTATTAATCAAGGTTTTCAAAACCGGACCGGACAACGAACCGGAAGAATGAGAGGTTCACGGTTTGACCGGTTCGACCCCGGTGAAGAAAAGAAATTCCAAGTTCTCCTACTGCATCTGGAAAAGGGTAGATTTTTTTAACCTATCATAAATTTGTATATATTTATGTATTAATATAAAAACTTTTAAATTGAATTATATAATATTTAAATCTTTAAATTCTATCAAAATTATCCTCGATAGTTGATATTAAACAATTAAATTTAGAATAATTTGAACTCCCTTTTTGACAAGCTTATAATCAAATTGAGCATCTTGATGCGATGAACTCATCGATATCACAAGTGATCTGATCAGAATTCAAATGAATCCAACTCAAACCCTTAAAGCATAATTGTACGCTTCAGAACATTGATCGTAAAACAAAATTATCTCTAATTCAAGCATGTTTATAGTCAAATCAAGCGGCACAATAAAATTAAACTAACGAGCATATAATCATTTAATTATACAGACATTTTTTTTTATAATCATTTAATTATACAACCATTGATATAATTAAATGCTGAATAAATGATCTATGATTAAAAGAATCGATATGGACCATTCAATTGAGTGGTTTAAATTCTAACAAAATTTATCCAATTGCTCCTCTCCTCTCAAAGAAAGTTATAAATAGAGTCACATATGAATAATGAAGCACAATATGAGGCTTTAGCTATTAGCTTTGCAACTAGCATGCACTATAAAAAAAAACTAGTGACAATAATAATTCATAATTAATAAATCTTGCCATGCACATAAAATCCACTGCTGCTAAAAAAAGTGTCACCGATGTATGTTCATGATGTTCTGTTACATCAACATCCGTACTCGCTTTAACTAACACTAACATTATGACCCTTTGAGTGTGTGTATCTCAAAAGGTCGTAATTTTATTATTACAAACAAAGAACTCAATGTCACAACGATAGTATAATAATCTAACCCAACAGGATTCTTAACATGTTGAGCTGTGACAGATAAATCTAAATATCTTGGTTTTGAAATATTTCAGATTCTCTTCCAATCTACATTGTAAAATAAATAACAAACTACATGGCTACTAAAACATCCAGAGTATTGAAAATAAACTCATCTACAAAATCTCTTTTATTTCAACAAAATGTATATACAAGATATAAATTATAACACATATCTACATAAATAGAAAGCGAAGCACGATATATAACTAAAGTTAGATGTGAGTGTACAAAAATCAAAATAGATAAATGTCTATAAACTTAAATCAGATCCTGAATTGCTAATCAACATGCTCATTTTCTTTCACAGATCCTAAAAATATAATGCAAAACTATAGTGAGATACAACGGCTCAGTAGGCCTCAAACACGATTTAAATTTCAAAATCATTCTTTTAATAAATATTTACTAAAATATTTAAATGCAATATAACAAAACATTGTATCGAGCAAAATAATAAGAGTTGTTATCCAATATTTGAATAATAATACTGAGTAGTTAAATAAATGAAACTTATATTACTAAACTATTTATAACAATTTTCTTCGAACTTAAATAAAATCTTACAGGATTCTAGTCCCTTATAATTCACTTTCATATCACATAACAATTTATATCAATTTTCTTCAAACTCATATAGAATCTCAAAGGATCATGACCCCCCTTAATTATGACTCTTTTTATACTTAAAACATCACGATGTGACTTATAATCACCATAATATTTATGATCTCATACATAATTTCAGAGGATTTTGACCCCTTATAACTCTCTTTCATATCACATAAAATACATATTTCATCACGTTATAGCAATTAAACATAATCGAGCATGATAATTGAATAATTTTCTATACAATATCAATAGAAAATCTTATTTAGCAAAATTCACAGTTTTAAAACATACTCAAATTATCAAGGATTATGTAAAACATTTTCTCAAAACTTCAATTATGCAACAACATTTTTTTTCAAATTATTTTCTATTAAAAAAATCACTTAATTGTCAAAATTTTTGATATAAAAATTTCGATAAATACTCAAAACATTTAAAATCTCAAACTATCTATTGTATGAGTTATATCATGGTGGATGTATTTATTTTTTAATATATATTATATTTCAAATGTTATTGAAATTTAAATCGGAACAAATATTTTTTCATTATGGCTAAATAAATAAACAATAAAGAAGACTTAAACGTTGGATTGAAGAGAATGCAGCAAAAGTTATCAGACTTTGGATGAATCTCGTAAGAAAAAAACAAAATAACTGCTCATCGTGGCCACGTTTGCACGTCCATAACATCCGACAGTAGGCGTCCAATTCAAAATCAAAGGAGGCAGTTTGGACAGTAAGAAGAGATTGAGTTTCTCTGGCTTGGCTCTAGGGTTTTCTGCTCGGCAATCCTGCGTTCTGTATCTCGGCGAATTGAAACAACAAATCAACAGCAAGTCCTCACCTCCGGCCGGCTTCCTTCCGCCTCCGTCAACCTCACGCAAGCGAAGTCCGACCCAGCAGCCCGATTTCCTGTTCGTTTGGCTCACGCAAGGTAGAAGTCCGCCTCCTACGCGACTCCTGAACGGCTGAATTGATCACGCCTCGATCGCCCTAACCGGTCAAGTCCCTATTCCGTCTCCGGCGAAGCCTCTCTTCTGATCAGACGAGCCTCCGTGCGACACCAAACCACGCCTACCTGCTCTCTGTGTTCGGCCAAGAGGCCTCCGGCGAACAAAGCCAACCCCGCCTTCCTGCATTTTGGCTTTTGCTTGGTCCGTTCCACATGCCCAAGCCTAAGGATTTTTTAGTCCAAACGGACAACAGAGAGGAAATGGATATATCTTAATTATTTATTATTAACAGAACAATAATAATAATTTTTATTATTATTTTATTATATTGTTAATAATGATTGTTATAAATTACTTTTTTTTTAAAAAAAAGAAAGCTAATGCGCATGGTCATCAAATTACAAGAATTGAAGGAAGTCCCGGGGTTGATTCGGTCCCCTGAAGCCCTCGGCCGTCAATATGATCTGGCTAAGAGATCGAAGACATAAAGACACTAATTGGATCGATTTGCTCTCCCAATCTCCTCATCGTTGATTTGCTCCGACCGAGTCGAGCCAAAAGGAAAAATGCCATCCCTTACTTCCCGGTGCCAGGAGGGGACACCGGGAGGCTGTTGAAATGTTATCAAAAATTCTGGACTTAAACAAATTGGAGAGCATTCAATTCAATTAATTTAAAACTTCACGATTAAAATTCAAGTGATCAATCAACCAAAATATAAGTGTTTAATAATTGATTAAAACATGATTAAAGAAAGCTTGGGATATTTGATTAACTCAAACAATTAAAGTGTTTAATTGAATAATTTAATCGGACAAATTTTAATTAAAAATGATTAATTTAAACTTTAACCATGATAAAAACCGCAATTTGACTAGTTAACGTTTGAAAAAAAGGGAAAATTGAAATCAGAAAACCTGCAGTGGTGCAAGTGGGGGTGTCAATTCGGGTCAATGGTCGGGTTTGGGTCGAACCTGCAACTGACCCAGCACTATTCAGGTCAACCCGAACCCGACCCGTTTTTAAAAACGGGTCAGGTTTCCGGACCCGAACGAATGACCTGGGGTTGACCCAAAATTGCTAGTTTTCGAGTCAAAACGGGTCAATCTCTGATTTTCGGGTCAAATATGAGTTTTTGTGTCGGGTCAATTTTGGGTTGTTGTCAACCCGAACCCAATCCGATTTTTAAAACGGGTTGATTTGTTGAACCCGAACTCGGATTTTTCCCGGACCGGTTCGGGTCGTGTTTCGGATCATGTCAAAAATTGACACCCCTAGGTGCAAGCTTAGTTGAATTTGGAAACATCAATTAAATAATTAACTAATGACTCACTAATCAAACAATCTTAATTAAGATTCAGAAGTCTAAATTAACTAAACCTGTAATGAAAATAATAACTAAGTAATTAACTAATCCATTTAAGCAGCAATTAATTAAGCAATTAATTAACTAAGACTCAATTGAAACCAAATAAAAAATAAAAATCTCAATCGCTTTTGAATTTTTAATTTGAAGATCAATTTAATCAGAAATTAGAAATTCGAGCTGTTTTTTTAGTTCGATTTAACTGCTTGTATATCAAACCTAATTAATTAAAAAAAATTCATTTTAATCAATTGGTTTTAAAACATCTGATTAAAAGAATTAATTAAGTATATAATTTTAATTACTTAAATTAAAACTTTAACTTAACTGATCAAATTAAATAAGTTAAAGTTAAAATCATTTAATTAGTAAAATCAACTAACTAATTAACAAAGCTCTCCAACCGAGCAGCTCTCCAATAGCTCTACAACTAAGCAACCCAAACACAATGCTCACAACAACCCTGAAACTCTCTCCAACAAGCAACCTTAGACCCTCTCTGGCCTTTAACAATAAGCCCAACTGTACTTGCCAGAGGGCTCCCTAAACCGCTGACTACGAGCACTTACAAGCAAGCAGATAAAAGTCAGCACAATTACAAATAAAAAATTGAATGATGTAAAAAATAAGTCTAACTACTACAAGCAAACTAAAGTGCTGAAAGTAGAGCAACAAATTATTGTAGTTAAAAACAAACTACAAGACACTAACATAAACATCTAGGGAGTAAAGTGTCTAAAGGTATGCCTTAGCTAATTTGAGTCTTATAGGTTACTTCGAACGGTAGTAGCAAATCCTATCGACAATTCTTTCACTTAATATCTCGGAAGCAACCTAGGGGCATCTTAATATATAGGACTAAGTTGTAAGACCTGTCATTTGAGCTACTTCTAAGAGAAATAGTAAGACATGCATGTTAGAGAACTTCTAAATTAACGACCCTAAATAAAAAAAAAAATTTCAAATCCTTGACAGTCTTATTTATAAGAACTATGTTGTAAGACCCGCCACTATGCAACTTTCAATGAAAGCCGTAAGTCCGATTTTAGGGGAAATTGTAGGTAAAAATAACCTAATATTTAATCCCTGATACACCTCTAAAATCGGCCACTTTTAATAGAAGCCGTAAGTTCGACCCTCGAGGGAAATGTTTAGGTAGTAACATAACCCTAGACTTCTTACTGGTGCATCCTAGTCTATATGGCTAGGTTGTAAGACCCAGCTCTGGGCCACTTAGTTTACAAAACTAGGCCGTAAGACCCATCCATTGGCTACTTCTAATAGAAGTCATGAGACCCACTCATACCCAAAATCTTTGAGCTACCTCCAATAGAGGTCGTAAGACCTACTATTAGGGCTACTTTCAAATGAAAATCATAAGTATCTACATAAATCTAAGCACACGAGCAACTCCTAATTGGAGTTATAAGCCCCAAACTAAATAAATTAACATGCAACTCCCAACTGGACCTGTAAGCCCAAACTAAACAAATTAACGAGCAACTTCTAAGGAAGCCAAAAGCCCCAGCCCAAATTAAATTAAAATAAAATTCACACATCTCCATTTCAGTCAACTTGAGATCTTTAAGAGGATGCAATCCATTATTGTTAATCAGATTCCAAGGACACTACAATTAATGGTTGTTTGTATTGGTAGACTGAACCCACGGTATGCCCGAGATGATGAAACCATGGGATCTTGATAGGGTGCATCTTCATCCCCCATAACAAAATTTAAAACTCTAGAATTTTGTTTCACATTCTCACACTCATTACACAAAGCTAAGTATATTTCATTCTTAATCGAGAGTGTTCTTTTATTGCATTACGAGGGTAATTAAATACGAGGGCTTGCGTGGTTTAGTAGGGCTGTTTGGATTGTTTCGTGCGTCTCCGCTCTGGGTTTTAGGGCTTCGCCCTAAAATCCCTCTGGCGGCGCCTCCGCTCGTCCGCCTGGGCTTTGTGCGTCTGGTTGTTTCTCCGTCAGTTTACTTGCGTTTTTCTTTTTTTGGCTTCGATGGCGTCTTCTCGCCTCCGGGATCCTGGTTTCCTCTCAGGCTCTTCGCCTCTTTCGTTTAAACAAGCATTGTTTGGTACTTCTTCTACTTCTTTGGTTTTTCCTGAACTAAAGGTTTCTTCTTTCAAAGGCATGCCTTCTTTATGGATTTCGGAGATGGAAATTGAGTCTTTAGCTGCCTCGTTTGAATTAAAATACGAGGGCTTGCGCTCATAGAAAATAGAACCTAGATCTAAATAAACCCTAAAATTATTTTCAGGGGAAATCTAGTTAAATTTTAAACTCAATCTACCTCTGCGAGAATTTAAGGGAACCATAAATTCGTGAGAGCGAGGTTCATACGTGTTGCTGTAAAGATAAATTTTTCGGGGCGATCAAATGCACATAATTTTCAAGATAAATTATTACACTACACAAAATATTAGTTTTTGAGAAATTAAATATAAACTCGTGCATAATACATAAGCAAACTGCAAACTCAAAATCTGATGATTGAGATGATAAGCTAAATTTTCCCAAAGATGATAAGCTAAAGGTATGAAAAGCCAAAATATAGAATGTACAAACGGTCGACCCAACCCTAGAAGATAAAATCTCAAAGTCACAGGAAGATTGGAGCTCTAAATCGAAAACACTGAGCTAAAGATGCCGCTTTTCGCGTCTCAAACCGTTCTCCACAGCTCGCATCAACCTCCCTCGCTCCTCTACCCCTCAAATCCTCTTCGAAGTTACAGTTCCATTCCCCAAACCCTAAACCTAACCCTAAAAAAGAAGACAAAGCTCCATGTGAGCAGCCGCCGCTCGGACTATTTCGAGCAGCAGAGGGTCGCCCCTCGTGCGCCGGAGGAACGCTCCTTCACGGCTCAGTCTCCCGGAAGTAAGAGCTTTGGAGATTATCTTCCTCTAAGTTATCGTTTTTATAGTTGGTACTAGTCGTTGTCCTTTCTTATTCTCAGCTCAGCCTACTAGGGTTTACGCGGGTTACTCTATCTACAAGGGAAAGGCTGCTCTATCACTGGAGCCAAAGTCGCCTGAGTTCGCCCCTTTAGATGTGAGTGTGTTTTTCGAACTCAGGAAAGTTCTATTTGCTTGGAAAGTTTGAATTTTTTTTTTCTTTCTGATTTTGCTTTATTGTGATCGTTGGGTTTGCTTGATTCCAGTCTGGGGCTTTCAAGGTGTCAAAGGAGGGTTTTGTTCTTCTCCAGTTTGCACCCGCAGTTGGGACAAGGCAATATGATTGGAACCGGAAGCAGGTTTGGTTATATGCTGACATTACAATTTTAGACATGAATATGCCCTTTTTATCTTTTTGAATTTGCATTATTAGATCATGGACCAAAGTTGAGGCAAACTGGCGTTTTTTATCACCAAGTCCCTTTTATGCATGACCATGGGGCGGAAAACCCAGAAGTATAGCACCTTATATCCAAAATGGACGTATGGTTCTTGATTCCTGCAAAACAAAAACTTATAAAAGTACCATTGCTTGTATTCAGGGCAAGGCATTTTACCGGTGTTGATATCTGTAGTATATTACATAACAAGTCTGAACCATTGTTTATTGTTGTTCTCAAACCTTTTTAGCATAAATTGTTGCATATTAATACCAAATATCCATTCATATGGTGTGGCTTTGTACCAGTCATTTTTAATTTGAGCTGAAGGATTGTTCTTTTCAAGCTCTAACTGCATTTATCTCATAAATGGATTCTATGACTTTGAAAATTCATTGACTATGCCGCATAACATCTCCTTGTCATGTACATGTATCTTATCCGACTAAAACAAATTTCCATATCATTAAATCTTGGGCTTTTCTGCCATATATGGCGATTTTCACGTAGTTCTTTTGCATTTAATGCTTGGTTGAACATTCTGCATAGAATAAATTCAGTACTCAATTCCAATACTTTGTTTAGGTTTTCTCCTTATCTGTCGGTGAGATTGGAACACTGATGGGTCTTGGTGCAAAGGATGCTTGTGAGTTCTTTCATGATCCCTTTAAAGGGAAAAGGTAAATGATCAAGCATTGACCCCATTACTATTAGATTTAGAAGTCAACTGCTCGTATGCTTTGCTAATGGGCTGTTTATTACATTGTAATTGTTCAGAAGTGGCATTAAGTGAGTTCCGGAACTAATTTTCATGAAAGTGAGTTACATTCATGTTTTGTTAATCAAGATTAAGTTTTTGTGTTTTTTTTTGAGTTGCAAGGAGTTGTGGAAATAATTTTCAATTAATTGTAATGTTTATTTTGAATGGAGTGCATGGACGGTGGCATGCTTTTTCCATATTAAACTTATCAGCCACTACACCCATGAAAGTTACAAATCACCTAATTTGCATAAATTTTAATTATATTTAAGTTTGCAATTTTAATTATATTTAAGTTTGCAAATGTAAATTTATAATTAGCTATATTTACTATAAATATATAGACACAAATTTGTTGGTAATTAGTTTATAAATACGTGTCTACACTTTCCAAGCTTAATGTTTTTAATATACCCTTTTTCTAATCCATTTTATTAAACTCTTTTTTCGTCTTTAAAAAACTAACTATTAGTCATATTGTTAAACTTGATCTATACCATCTATAAAAGTTATAGGTTAATTTATCATTGAATTTCATGATAATTTATCTGTCAATTAAGTACTTTCAAGAATTTAGTAACTAATAAATTGTATTGTAATAATGCATTTTTTTCAAAAATATTGGTTCTAAATTAATCCTGAATGTTCTATCTAGAAAACCAAGATTTATGCTTCTACAAACATAATATAACTATTGTAGAACAAGATAATACTCCTTTTGAATCAACACACCATCTGAGCATTGTCTACAACAACAACAACAAGTCTTTAATCCCACTATATGGGGTCGGCTGCATGAATCCTTTTTCTCCTTTGTGTCCTATTAAGGGTCAAATTCTCATCTAAATCTAATAAAGAAAGGTCATTTATAATATTTTCTAACCAAGTCTTTTTAGGTCTATCCCCACCTTTCTTAATACAAGTCAAATCTAATACATCTACTTTCCTAACCGGGTCATTGGAAGGCCGTCGTTTTATGTGACCATATCATCTAAGGTGACTCTCTCTAATCTTATCTTATACTGGAGCTACTCCAACCTTTTCACATATATGCATATTTCATATTCAATCTTTAAGAGTAAAGCCACTCATCCACCTGAGCATCCTCATCTTTGCAAAACTTAACTTAATATTATGCTTCTCTTTTAATGGCCAACATTCTGCACCATAAAGCATTGCATGTCTCACTACCATCTTATAGAATTTTTCCTTAAGTTTGAGAGGGATCTTTCTATCACATAACAAGCCCGATGCATTCCTCCACTTCAACCATCCAACTTGAATTCTACTAATAATATCCCCATCTATTTCACCATCATATGAGCATTGTCTAATTATGATAAAACAACACAATGCTCCTCTTGAATTTACACCATTTGATTATTTTATAATTTGGGGTGACTATCCAAAGAATATCATGTCCAACACCAATCTTAAAGAAATCCAATGGTTTGATTCAGATCTATAATTACGTGAAACTAAAAGTCCAATGCCTCAATCCCCTTCATCCATTACCACATTAGTATGATGTTCTAGCTCTAATCTTGAAGATGAGTTGTCTTGATCATCAACCCTCAAATAAACTAAATAAGCAAAATATTCCTCAATCAACTATCTTTTTGTATAGCATAGATCTCAAAGATGATATATCTCCTCCATCCATCATTCACGTCGCCAAAAGCTACAAAATGCCCTTCGTCGAAAAAAACTATGAATTCCTTCAAGTGAAAAGGTAAATATTTATTCAAATATCTCTTTTCTCTCTAGAAAAGGTTATGCTGAGTCATCCTTTTCTTCAAGCATGCTTGTTGAATTGAGTGTCAGTGTATCTTTACAGGGAAATAGGGGCAGATTCACAATTTCTTTGGTTGTATGTATGAAAAAAGTGAGGTTGTCATGGATAGCGTATTCTAAAAATTGTTTACAATGTCTGTTCATTTTCAACACAAGTTAATAAGTATATAAAGTTTTTTTATATTGTGCAAAAGTTGGTCTTTTAAATTATCCATGTGAATGCATAAATTTAGATTGGAATGACACCGTTAACTTTGATTTTCTATCTGGAAATCATCTATAAGTTTTTTCTTTTGCATGTTTATGTACACCATTATTTTCTCTTATAAACTCCATGCATCGGCAAGTTACCATAGATTCTTCTAAAATGTAAGTTTAGTTATTTTATATAAAATAACTCACGATCACTTGTCTTTATTTTTCAATTAAAGGCTTTATTGGTTAAAATATAATAATGTTTTCAAATTAATTAGACTCAAGCCTTGCTTGACCACTATTATTAGCGACAACATTACAACTACTTAGGTACTAAATTGAGTAAATATTTTGACTATTCGGTTGCATCATGCATACTAGAAAAGGCACAATGTGCATGATATAATGCTAAATCATATTATTAAAGTTTTTTTTTCATGAGAACAAAAATAGTAGTCTTATTGCACATGAGATTGAGGATGTAATTCTTGCAGATAGAAGGAATGCCAAATAGATTGTATGAGGTTCACATGAATAAATGGTATGTAGGATGCGAAGACGAATTATAATGTGGGGTGAGTGTAGGGTGAGACTTTATGTAAGTGATAGAGGGTTATTTTATCAATTATGAGTATTTTTAATAAGTATGATTTTGCACAACCACATCTGTTCCTTCTCGGTTTGTCCAATTGGAAGATGAATTCTAGCTTTTTGGAGTTGTTTCTAAGCATCAACTAAAAATAGATGGAGGTACTCATTTTTTGCCACTACTAGAACCTATAATGAAAAAACCCTAGAATACAATCTTTTGGGTGTTAAAGATAGGATTAGCTCATGGAGGTAGAATTGAACAATGTCTGTCTTAGAAAGGAGGTAAGGTAGGGGTGTCAAAATTTGACCCAACCCGTCAAACTAACCAAAAAATTTCAAGTTCGGGTTAACTCGTTTAATAAAAAGGTCGGGCTCGGGTCAACCTGCCAACCCGAAATTAACTCGATTTTTGAGCCGGATTGGGCGGAACATCGCATCAAGCGAGCTCCCATTATCGTTGATGAAAGGAAACGAACAAAGAACCGTCGAAGGAGGTGAAGGTCATCGAGCTATAGTGGCTTCCCAGATAGGAAGGGAACATCGAACACTTGAAGTAGGCAAAGAGGAATGTGATTTTCATCGGATGAATTACGGGATTGGCCGAAGAAGCACACTAAATAGGAGAAAGACGCTTACAGATACCATCGCAATGAGTGAGCTCCTGTAGCCTATCGTCGTTGAAGGAGATGAAGTTCACAACTTTCATTTCGGGTCAACAGGTCTGGTCGGGTTGGTGGTTGGTATGAGATTATGACTATTTTAACTAAATGAATCGGGTTCGAGTCAGACGTATTAAGAGCAGGTCAATTTCAGGTTGTACCAGAACTAACCCGAAACCCATTTTGACACCCCTAAGGTAAGGGAGGGGTTTCAAGGGTGAGGCAATTCAACAAAGATGGTGGGTTTGTGACAGAGGAAGTGGTGGTCGATAATTTGAGGTAATGTAGTATTTTTGGAGAAGGGGGAGTTATAACCATATAAAGCAGGTACTAGTGCAAAGGAGTGCGGGTGAATGAGAGGATAGTGGGGGAGAGACACCATGTAACTTATAGGGGATTTGGAGGAGAGCTGGTGGCTGGTGATAGCCATGTATGGAGGCAAGAGCAAGATTTGAACTTGAGAGATGAAAAAAGAAAGGTTTGAAGATAGCTTCAAATCTGGCATTGTTGGTTCCAATCTCAGATGCAAAATGTTAAGGGTTGATATTAGGTTGATAATTAATTGTAGAATTTGTTGTCAACACTAATGAAATGATTTTTTTTTTGTTTAATGACTATTGACACTTTTATGACACTTTCTTTAATATGCATTAAATTTAAACCCTATATGTTGATTTTAATTGAATCAGTTTGGTAATTGTTCGTCTATTTGGCATCTCATTTGTTGACAAAATTTTTCTGTAGATGCCTTTTGTTTTTTCTATTGTCAAGCTTCCTGATCTTGGACTAAGTTATTGTCTCTTTGGTGGCAGTGAAGAAGGCAAAATCAGAAAGTTATTAAAAGTGGAACCTCTTCCGGATGGCACTGGTCATTTCTTTAATCTCAGTAATTCTCGGCATCCTTGAAACTGTATTATATGTTGCAGATGTGCAAATCTTTCAATAGGAAAAATTTGAAATGTCATCATCTTTAGTCTTATCCCCACTATTTTGGAGGTGCTACTGCCACTTGAGGCGTTAAACTCATTATTCCTAAATCATTTATATCCTTTTCTTTGCATCCAGCGCTCGTGCTACCGCCTGTTTCCACCGTTAATGTTGACCTCCGCCCCACTCATCACCTCCCTTACCATCCTCCTCGCTTGAGCCCATCTACTCTTATAGATCAAAGCCTTGCATTGGGTACCCATACTCACACCCACCCATTGGGTATGGGTACGCCCATGGCCTTGTGGGTGGGTATGGCTCAATACTCAACATCAGAGGATAAATCAATTTACATTGCTAATCACCATATATCTTATATTACAATAATCCTCACTACATAGTGTGCAACACTTAACCACGTTACGACTACGATAAATTTTGATATGCGGCTAAAGGACAACAAGCCTTAAGGCCATCAGTCCGTGGCAGACTGTGTTCAAAGAGCATGGAAAGTGGGTGGGTATATGTGGGTACGGCATCCCGAAAGTCATCATGGGTGGGCGTAGGTGGGTGAAGCCCGTCCGAGTAAAGCATGAGTATCCAATAGATATCCAACCAGGACCCCATGTAGGGCTTTGTTATAGATGCATGCCTTACCTGCCACCTCGTCTTTATCCCCATTGACCTTTGCATTGTCCATTGCCTCCCTTGTCATCAAGCTTTTGCAAAGATAGAGAGAAAGAGGGAGAAGGAATATTTGTATTGGATCCTAACAAACAAACAAAAAATGTTTACATTTGCTTTGCATATGAACAAGTAACTCTCTAAAATTCAAATAAAATTGCTTTCTAAATGCATCCAACCAAACATTCTCTTAGGTTTCATTTGGGATGGCTTTCTTCTTGCTTCTTAAAGCAGCTCTTTAGTAAAAAAAAATAATAATTTTACTAAAAAGCTGTTTTAAGAATCAGGAAGAAAGTTGTCCAAAATGAAGCCTAATAAACTTTGCTGCTTTCACTGATGAAATCACTGGAAAATTAAGATTGAAATATTTCTCGACTTCCCTGATAGTTTATTTTATACTTTTGCTGATTTAAATATTTCTTTATATTATAGATGTTCAGAACCGTCTCCTGAATGCTGATGAAAGCATCTACATCCCTATTGCGAGAGCTGAACTGATCGTGATGAACTCAGCTTTCAGTGTATGAGTACCCACCTTACTCTTTCCTTGTCTCATTTAGTACAAATCCTTCTATGATTATAGATCTGCCCAGAATGATATTAGTATTTATATTGGACTAATGCTGAAACAACCGGCTGAAAAGGTTGCAGAATAGTCTTTTTTCTTAACTATTCATAAAAATAATTGAAGTTCGGTGAGTTCTATGTAGGAGAAATTATTAGGTACGGAGACCGGATGTAGAGTTGCATTCGGACTCCAATAAAATGTTGACACGGAGTTGCATCTGGACTCCAATAAAATGTTGATACGTGGATATTCATTTGGATTTTTTTTTTAACTTTTATATATTTAATTGTCAGCGGAACTTTAAGTCAAGTGCATCAAAAGCGCAGTCAAAGCGCTGGTAAAGTGCATATGTCCGGCCTCTGCACCTAATAATTTCTCTCTATATAATCTTGCACAGAAAATTCGGTCATTTTACATGAAAAAAAAAAAAAAAGGCCAGGCCGAGTTTATGAAGCCATCAAATTACCACTTTTCTCTTCCATTATGCAGTTTATACTGCCATACCTGTTGGGCTGGCATGCCTTCGCAGATACCATTAAACCGGACGACAGTATCAGATCTAACCTCACAAGCTCAAGATCAGGGCCTGAACTGGAGTGGGGAAGATAGAACTATTTTCCTGGAAAATATCCTGGAAAAAAGCAAAAGAATGATCTGAATGCTTAGAATTCAGCTCTTTCTGTAAGGGAAGCAGGTCCTGCTATTGGTCTCCATGCAAAATTTTTCTGCTACAAAAGATTTTTGCTGGTTTAATTTTTCACTGTTTGCAACCAGTTTTTTATTTTGTTGTATAAGCTTTATTTATCAGTTTGTATATTATTGACATTTAGTTTTTAAAGATGATTAAAAATTAGTTTTGGTTAACTCAGTTTGTTTTGATATTTGTTTATTTGCTGGAAAAAAATTTGTTGGAAAGATGACTTTGAATGATAATGTGACCTTGGGGGTGGGGGGGATTAAATATTGTATTATTTTTATTTATTCTCTATGTAACTTTGTGTATGAATATCCATGGAAAAATCAATTAATCCAAGCTTTTGCATGTCACTTATTTTTAAATGTTATCAGGGGGCCAACATGTTAGGGTTTTTTTTTTCTTTCCAACTTCTATTATCCCTCCATTTCATTCTTACCCTACTTATCTCCAATTTCTTTGACTTCCCTTCCAAATAGCCAACCATCATAAATTTTGAAAATCAGATTAAAGTTTCGTTTGGAACAATTTTCTTACAGCTTCTCAAAATAATTTTCTAATACAAAAAAAAAAATTGTACTAAAATATTGCTTTAAGAAGCAGCAAGAAAATCGTCACAAACGAAGCTTAAAGAAGAGCTTCATAAGCTAGAAATCTTGTAGCAATTGAATGAAAAAAACTACTTGAAGTGGTCTCAAATTATGAAGATATTTTTGGAAGAAAACAGAAATATTCATCATCTTGTGGATCGCCATCTGAAGCTGAAAGACCCAAAGTATATGATTATGTAATTGCTATAGAACACTATTATGCCTAAAATTAGTAGGTTATAAATATTCCTCATAAACACAAACGATGATTTCAAAATAAACAAAATCAAGAAGACCATACGCTAATCAATAAAATACTCCACCAATGAAAATATTATAATTCTCATTAATATATTAATAATATAACAGTTACAATTGATGATAATGAAGAAAAAGAATGATCAAACAAAAGCTAGTTGAAGAATTTGAAATAAAAAAAATTGGGCACACTCAAATACTTCTTGGGTTTATAGATTTCTCAATCCAAATATAAAATTCTTGTCTCAACAAGATATGTTATGAATCCATTAATGAAAATAAAAATGATTGATTACAAGTATTGTAAAACCCTAACTGAACTAGACCAAAAATTGAACATATATCCATCAAACATATGTCCTATCAATTTATGTAAGAATCAAAAAATTTTACCTTCAAATTGCTTATAGAGCTCTCATGTACCTAAAATTAAATCCCAAAAATATAAAATTCTACAAATTGACGGTTATACTAATGCTGATTATGCAGAATCACCAATAGATAGGAGATGCACATTTAGGAGGAAACCATATTTATATAGGGAATCAAGAAATAATATCTTGTCTCAAGATCAAGTGTAGAACCTAAATTCATAGTAATAGCTCAAGATATATGTGAACTCTTATAGATTAATTTTACAACAACAAAATCAAGCCATTGTCCCACACTACATGAGGTCAGCTATATGAATCTTTTTTCTCCATTGTGTTATGTTAAAAGTCGAATTCTCATTTAAATCTAAAAAAGAAAAATCATTTCTAATATTTTATAACCAAATCTTTTTAGGTCTACATCTACCTTTTTTAACATAAGTCAAATCTAATACCCACCGTTTTATGTGACCAAACCATCTAATAGAATAGAATATATATAATTAATAGAATAAATGCTTAGTAATAAGTTCCATTTTTTGTAGATGTAAAAATTACAATGATCAATCTTTTGCTCTTGCGCGATAATGCAATTGACATTTCAATGTAAAGTAGTGTGTAGTGTTTGATACATATAGGATATGACATGTGCACAACATGCTTTAGACCATAGACATTGTAGACCTGTAACTCTTGTGTTGCCTTCTATTTTTATTTTTTTATTTGTTTACTTGGTGCCACCTCATGAATTGGTTGCTCCCCCTTTCCTTTTTTTTCTTTTTATCAATCCCAATGACCCTTCAATCATGGAGTTGGTTCTTGGTACCATCAATCTTTTAGTATTCTCTATCAAACTAGATGGTATAATGCTATCATTCAAAGTTGGTTTATAATGTTTTTGAATGTAAGATTGAAAAGCTCTTTGATGACTACTGTCTACAAGTTGACTTTCTTTTGGAATATACGGGATACAATTAACCCAATTTATAGCTTCTCTTTATGAAATGTCTATCCACGTTTTCGTTTTTTATTCAATCATTGGATTAAAAGTAACATTGATGACAAATTTATTCTTCCATTCTGATTTTTAACTTTAAAAATAATTAATCTAAGTTAATTGTTGCAGAGATGAGGATGCTCAGGTGGATGAGTGGCTTTATCCTTAGAAATAGGATACAAAATGAGCATATACGTGAAAAGGTTGGAGTACCTCCAGTGGAAGAGAAGATTAGAGAGAGTCTCCTTAGATAAATGAGAGAGAGAGAGAGACTTCATTGTTCTCATTTTTATTTATTTTGGCTCTCACTTGAAGCTTAATCCTATTCAAATGCATGTGCAAGCACAACAATGATAAATATAGCAAAGTATGAATCAAAACCAAAACATAGAAATCTAAAGAAAGAATATCACTGTGAAACTGATGCTAGTCACATTATTTCACAAACTACAAAAATCATATTAAATGGCATTAAAACAATGAAAGTTCCAGGTGATAAAAGGAGAGTAAATCCACAGAAATAATCTTAATTAAGTACATGCTAAATAACTCAATGTCATTAGCACGAACTTAAAAAGGCATGAGGGTAACATGAATGGATCTTACGTGAAATCTTGAAGTTTTTTCTCTAAGATTAGAAACTCCATTCTTCATTTGAAACTGCATTTTTCATCTGCACCTGGAAGCTAAATCATACAGGATATGCTCCTGGACTGATCAAACATTCTAGAAATAAACAATACTGGTCAAAATTGTTTCCTCTTGTTCCTGAAAATTTTGTCTCTCTTGACATAGACATAGAATAATCCAAACAAAAATGCTCCAGCAATAGAAGCAGAAGCCCATGGGAATGGCGGATCTTTGAAACAAACCAATGAAGCCTCAAGCTTTTGCGTTGCCTGATAAATTAAAGTATGCAGCTCAAAAAGATCATGTTCTGAAGACCTCCAGAAATACAAAGCCTTATCATAATCCAGTTGAGACATAGCAGAAACAACCTTATCCAGCTTATACTTGAGCAAATTCCACCTCTGCACAAAATCTACGTACCTATTATCCTTAAGAACCTTCCTATCACCTCCATGTGCCTCCAATGACTCCAACAAGTCAACAGCACTGGTGATCGTATAATTCAGACAAACAAGGAGAACATTCCTTCTAGCTGCGTCCTTCTGAACAAATGAGAGGGAATATAACTCCGAGAAGGGTCCAAATGGAGTATTTCCAACACTCCAAGTGTAGTCTACAAGAGAGTTATTATGCTCTGGGCTCCATGTAATGTGAGTTGGTGCAACACCCCACATACTCTGAAGAACAGAACCAACAATTGCACGATTCAAACTACGAGTATGGGTGACCACATGCCTTCCATTACAACTGTAGTCACTCACTGTCTGAGCACTCCTAGTCCTCACTGCGATCACCATATCCTTGAAAGCCACAGCTTGGTGGAAACGGTCGAGTAAGATGAACTTGTCATAATCCAAATCAAAGACATATACAGGGAGGACTTTCCCATACTCATCATCAGAAACACCAGCTTCTCTATGTATCTCGTCCACCGAATCCGCTAGCACCTGGTGTAGATGCTTCGAGTCCAAATACTCACTAACAATCAGAGTATAATTCTCAAAGAGGAACCTTGATGTGTATGAGTTCGTCGATTTGGCGATTGCAAATGAACATATTGTGCATTCTGAATACTTCACACTGTATGAGTTCATCTTCAAAATTTGACCTTTGAAGGATAAATCACTCTCCCTGAGTGTTTTCTCAATTGAAGTCCAGTCAAGACCCCTTGGATCCCCGTTATCAGAACCATGTATATGAATGAACTGGATAAGCAACTTGTTCTCAAAGAAAACTGGAATCCTCAAAGAGGGAACCAAAAGGGACTGATACGCACCAAGTACAAGTGACGCGAGATCCGCAAGCAAGGCTTTTTCGGATCTAGGACTCTTATGAAGAGAGGCTAGAGGGTGAAACTCACCTCGGGGAAGCAACCCTTCGCCTGAAAGCGCGGGCCCGTAGTCCACTGGTCCTGCGGCGAGATCAATCCACATGTATCGTTCCTTCCCGGTCCAGATCGTTCCCAAACACTTTGAGAACGCAGGCGAAGAATCCTCGGCATCGTATGCGTACGCGTAACGCTTTGATTGCTGGTCTAAATTCAGCAAATAGATGTCGATTCCAAGAGCAGAGTTAGGTTCCTCCTTGTAGAAATCCCGACGGATGAGATCGTCGACGACGGAGTAGGGAATTGAGAAGAGGGCGCCACGGTGGAGCGGCGCCGGAGAGGATTCGAGATGGGCGCGGATGGCTTCGGAGATGTCAGATTCGAGGGGGGCAAGGGAGGGGTCAAGATGGAGCGAGTGGGAAACAGCGAGGTGGTGGGGATTGGCACCGACGACGTGGAATCGGGAGGAGGAGAGGGCAGCAGCGACGAATGAGTGGAGAATGGATGGAGCGGCGGCGGAGAAAGGTCCGACGAGCTTGATGCGGACGGGGATGGCGATTTGGTATGAGAGAAGGTGGGAGATTAAATTTTTTGGTTTGGAAATGGGGGACAGGGAAAGGGATTTCTTGAGGGAAGAGGGGAGGAAGTGGAAGGAGTCGTTAGCGGAAAAAGGGTCGCGTCGGAGCTGGTCGGAGAGGAAGGCGTCGAGGCCGAGGGTTTGGGCAGATGATTGGAGTGGGATCGAGGAGTAGGTGAAAGCGAAGGTGATAAGAAGGAGAAAGATCATGCAAAGTAGCGTTTTTCGCATGGTTGGGCGTTGAGAGAGTGGTTTGAATGGTTAGGGTTAGGGTTAGCGAATACGTGGATCGGTGGATGTGGAAGACTACGCAGAGGAAGTTCTGGGTTGCATGAGCAGGGCATTCTTTTAACAAGGCGTGCCCTGGAGTCTGGAGAAGAAGATCAAAATTATTATTATTTTTTAATTATTCTGAAAGCTATAAATCTTTTTTTTTTTTTAATTAGGTTATGATATTGTGATGAAAATCATATTAAAATGAATTTCAATCAATTTTAATTTATCATAAGATTAGTAATATAAATATAATATCTATAAGATGTATTAATCTAATATAAACTTCTAAACAATGGAGCACCTCATAATCCTCACCTTTTTTTTTTTTGAAAATTTACATACTCAACATTCAAAATATTAAAATTTACATATTTAACACTTAAATTTCATTAGTTATATACATGTCCCTTCATCATCTGTCTTATTTCCTTTCAAATATAACTAGTCATTATTTATTGCCCTTAATCTCATCACCCTTCACGCACCAGGGGTTATCATATGTATTGTTGCCCTAATTTTCCATTGCGACTTCCACAAACACACATAGATAATAAACATAATGCATTATATGCCAAAATTTTTGTATGAAAAAACTCAAATGTGGAAAAAAATGAGGCTTTCCTCAGATGAAATCACCCACTTTGTAAATATGTTGCAATAATTCGCTCTCTCCTCAATTGGAGAATACATTATTACAAAAAATGTATTACATACGTGTTTTTCACAATTTTGAGGGAGAATATTGGAGATGCGACTGATGGATGGTGTGACTCGAGCAATACTAGTTTAGAGATGGTTGTGAGGCAATAATGAAAAGATAATGGTGATCAAGCAATGACAATCAATGTTTTGAAGTAAGCTATAAAAATTATGCGGCGATTATCAAATGAATGACTATATGTAACAAATCGATAAGTATAACAATTATTTTAAAATAAAAAAAAATATGCAAATTTTGAAACGGAGCACTGCGGCATTGAGTATTTTGGCGCTCTAGTGCCCTAATCTTAAGAAAATTTGAAAATTATTTGGTGCAGCGATGCTAGGATTTCAATGCAATAATGTCATGAACTTTGCACAAGAGGGTGGATCGACAGGCTTTCCTTGAATTAAAAAGTTTATAGTGTTATCCTAGTTATAGCCTATAATTGATTGATCGAATTACGCGGATGAGTATAGGGTGGACACTCTTAAATGAATTAAAAGTCACCCATGAATTAACTTAAAATAATGAACAATGATGATAAAATAAAAATGATGATCAATTGGTCGACAATTTGAGTTAAATTAAAAGATTAATGGCCAACTAGGCTATGATTTGGGTGGAAGGATGAAAACACCACATTAAAGTTAAATGTTTTACATTGCTCTTCACAATTACATTCATGATTGCATTGACATTATATCATATGAATTAATTGATATAGAATTGATTGGATTAGCATTAATTTTGATACAATATAGCATAACATGTTCATTGATTAATCACCTTTTTTTATTAATTTTCTTATAGTTTGATAGATCTATTTTATTTTTATTGATCATAATAGTTTTATTATTGATTAATACAAATTTTATAGATTTCTTATTGATTATACTGATAGACTATTGATTGTTGATTGATATGGACTAGAAATGGGGTATGCATATTAATTTTTTTTCTTGCATTGAAAGTAGTGATAAGTTTTGTATTTTTGCTGGGCTTTGTAAGCTTATTATGTTATTTTATATGATTTTAGGTAAATGCAAGAGCCTACAGTGTGAGGCTAGATAATGATGCTAATTTAGTTTCATTTTCAGTTCTTTGATTTTATTTAATTCTATTGTAGGCTATAGTGGCTATTGCATATATATCCTTTTGATTTTGGACTTAGAAGAAATATGTGAATATTGATTGTGAAAATATAAATATATTTTCTAATGTTTATAACTATTTTTCATTAATGCAATTAGTTAGGTTTTGTTATAAATGAATATTGGCTATAAATTGAATCATAAGAAAACAATAAATGAAGAAAAGAAAAAAAGATAAAATTCTTTCACTTTAGATCTTGGGGCGTGACAATATAGGGTGACGATGGTCTTGCAAATGTATTCAAATAACTATAGTGGTTGGTAGTGATTCTTAGCATCCATGATTATGTTGAGCTTTAGATTTCTTCAAATCTCTAAGCTCACTCTAATCTCCAAATATCCCCTTAATGCGGAGAATGCAAATTTATTTATAATATTTTGAGTGTCATTTTAGTAAATGTGGCAAAATTCTACAACAATTCATTGTATTGTCGACACCTTTGATCATAAACCATTCATTTAACATCTAAGCACTTTAATGACCTTGGAATTGAATAATCTTGAACTTGTAGGATATGTGTATTCAAGGCACTTGATTTTAATATAATTGATAAATCATTGAAATCAACATAAATCTTAACAAATATTTGAAATGAAAACTTTCAAAATTAAATTTAAGGTCATCCTAACTCCAATTTCAGTTACCTTATAGTTGAACTGAACATCTAGATGAAACAAATTTAATAATATCAAAACTGGTTCAATCTAATTCAGAATGAGCCAAGATCAAACACTTGAAGCATTATTGAAAGCTTTTAGATATTAAATGGATGAAGAAATAATCTCCAAATTTGACATGTTTATAGTCAAATCAAGCATCTCGACAAGTCAAATATGAAGAGTATAAGATGGCTTAATTTTGACAACATTGATGCACTTAAATATTGGATGAATGCTTTATGATCAAGGTAATCAATATGAATTCTCATGTGGAGTATTTCAAATTATCTTCATATTTACGGGCTTGCTTCTAAAAAAGTTATAGAAAGGCCCTCCATCTCTGCATAAGGGAGGGAACATGGAACTACAACTATCACTTGAGTTTTAATAGAACTCAAAAGCTCCAAGCATCAAGCTCAAAGAATTAAATTAGAAAAAAAAATTATCTTTTATCTTTAAATGATAACAACTATAGCTATTTAATTTTTCTTTCAATAATAAAAATACTAGCAAAAATAAATTTATTGGTCAAAACATCAATATGCGTCAGTGTTCAATACCTAAAAATCATGTACACTAGCTAGGAGTCATACAAATATAACATACTGTCTACACAATCCTAATCTCAAAAGAATAACTAAAAGATAAAATGATAGTAAAACTTGAAGAATCTTATATTTGATCAGCCTCACACTCTCAAATATCTTCCCTGAGCTGAAATAATTAAATCATCATATATTTTGCGTACAAAGCCCATTAGGTTATTAGAACCCTACAACTAAACTCATAGCACAAAAAAATAAATAATATGTATGAAATCATTCAGTTCATAATAGTAGCAGTCAATATGATTATAAATTTGTGTATAAATAGTAAAATACATGCAATAATAATAAAGCATGTAAAATAGTGCAATACAAATATAAAAAAGATAAGATAAATGGTAAGGTTGTGAAATATCATTCTTCTTAAAGCAAATGTCATAGCAGTATCATCTAAATAGTAAGAAAATAATATGAATCATTAAAATGAAAAAAATATTAGAAATATATGATAATACAGTACTATCAAGGAATCATATAGAAGTGCACATGATGTTCAATTATTTTCTATTAGTCTCAAATCAGTATCTTAATCACCTGCTCATAAATAATAAATCAGTAATAAGAAATTAGTGCCTTATATATATGTCCAAGCAGTGATATTAAATAAGAAATTTCGGCTTGTGTGATATTTTTCCAGTAAGTCTTCTTAGTTTCGTACTCATGTGGCTTTGATCAATAATTAGAGTCATCACTCTTGCCCGTCGACATAGTAATTTCTCCTTATAACTCTCAATTAGTCAATCATGTGAATCAGTAGAAAATACACCACAAACCACAATATTTAAAGAAAAGTCTGTCGACCCGTCTCTTGTACTAAAATGAAATAATATCCAACCAACCTCAGTAATAAACTAGTATTTTTTGTTTTTACATGCATAATATTACAAAAATAATAACAACCAACTATTACTCATTCTCATGCTCGTATTCATTCATGATGCTTTTATTAACAGCATAATCATATCAAAATGCCCAGATCACTATTCTTACTCAAATCATACAAAATTTAATAAATAACATCTCAACTAGCGAAAATATAAAATCATCTAGTCAAAATGATTAGAATAATCATACATATAATATACCAAAAGTTATGTCTTGGAAGTTCAATATATTAAGGAAAAATGTAATAAATATCAATTAAAATAGAAGAATAAATCTCATAATCAAAATATTTGAAAATATAGATATGATAGAAGTTACCTATGATGATTAGAATAATTTTTGTAATAGGAGAGTCAGATAAGAAAACCCCGGAAGTATTCTTTCTCTTTCTTCTTTCTCCCCTTCTCTCCTCCCCTTCCTTTCCTTTCTCGACAAGTCAAACGAGAGAGATAGGGGGAGAACGGTTGAGCGGAAATTTTTTTATTAAAAAAATATTTTTTAGTGCCTAGCATAGCGACACTCCAACATGGCAACGTAGCGCTGCATGCTCATTCCATTCATTTGTCTTGAGGAGAAGTTTAGTTCAACTAAAGTGTGAAAAATTTAGAGATTGGATAGCTGTAAATTTAATTCGAGAAATTTTGAACATAAATAATCCAACAAGTTACACACACACATGGGCATTGCACAGTTCCGCTATAATACCTAAAATTTTGGTCCAAAAAGGTAAACATACAAATTTCCCCTATATTCTCTCACATATAGAAAGTATCAAAAATATTTTCATCAAATTTGATATTGAATTTCGAGAAATTTTGGTATCAATATATCTTAAATGTTTATGAATAGGTATCTTTTAAATATCTGTTTAGTATTATAGTTAATATTATAGTCAATGAATAACAATTAATTGACAACAATTTATTAATTGTTACTGTAGTCTCCACTAATCTTGACATGCATGGGCTGGATGGAGATCAGACGGCTAGAATGTTAGTGGAATTGTAGTTGAGAATGCAATATCTTATAATAATATTATATATTACGGTAAAGCACTAGTAGACCTATAAGTCCCCTTCATTACTTTCATTTGCCCATCACCTGGAATTGAAGCAGCGGGCAAGCAAGCTGAGTAATAGTAGAGGATTCGGCTGCTGGAAGTTGGAGAAACCAAGTGCTGAATCTACGATTAGTGTTGGAGAAGCTGCAGTTCAAGAATGCATAAATTGTGGATTTCTGTCACTCTTTTTGAATGCTAAATGTGGAAATCAGTAAGGATAATTGAGGAAAATCTAAATGCATGTAAGGGTATTGTTGTTTGCTGAAAGTAAGTAATAGTTACTATTGCGATTTGCTGAAATAAAGGGGTTGTTGAAATTGATTTGCTAAATGTATTACAGAAAGAGAAGTAAATGTGTTTTGTTGAATGAGGAAGTTTAGCGAAGGTTGTTTACAAAAGGAAAAGAAGAAAGAATCGGGATACTGAGGTGAGATACCCAAAAAAGGTTATAAGAATTAATAAATGTTTTATTATCGCACTCCATCTTCATTATGTTTATGATCACATGTATTCTAGTTTATTTTGGTTATTTGAATGAATATTGTTGTTTATGTATGAATTTGTTTATGTAAAGGATAATCTTTAGCAATGTAAATGATTTAGTAAGCATAGAAGGATAAATATTCATAAAGCGCAACTAAAGTGCAAGCAAAGGGCACCTAAAGAGCACCTAAAGGGCACCTAGAGGGAACCAAAAGGGCACCTAAAGGGCACCTAAAGCGCACCTAAAGGGCACCTAAAGCGCACCTAAATGACAACTAAAGGGCAGTTAAAGGGCACCTAAAGGGAAGCTAAAGGGTAACTGAAGAGCAGCTAAAGCACAACTATATCATCAAAAGCATATATCATTAGCTCTAAAAAGGATGACTATATGAAAAGGGAAATAAGTTATATATGGGGGATAGGCCCGCACAAGTAAAGGCGAAAGACCTGATGAGGTAAGCCTACACTCTTAATTCTAGAAGTTGAGAAATTTGACTCAACTCTGAATGAGAGAACAGCTTCCATTCTAAAAGTTGGGAAAATAGACCCAACCTTGAATTGAAAAGTTGAATGGTGCAAAAGCTTATAGTCATTCTATAACTTATTTAAAGATGTGAAATAGTTTTGGTAAGATAAATAATACTGCTAGGCACTTTCAGGCTCAATATGATATTTCAATATGTGTTTTAATTATGTTAGCATAGTTATTGTATTTCTTAATGGTTCATTATTATTTCATATAACTTGCTTGCGTATTTCATTGAGCCAAGCTCATTAACAGTGGTTGTACTGCAGGAAAGGGGAAGGAGCCCTTGGGACAATAAAAAGAGGTGACCGTTCTTTTAATGTAAGTACGTTTTGGGGTGAAAGAGATCTAAAGCGAGATCTGAATGCTAGAAAGACTTTTGGATATGTGAATGAAAAAAGTTTTAGTATAGCTTTGTATTTGTTTTAATTATGTTGAGGTTCAATAAGGTATATTACATGCTTCCTATTGTTAAGTGTGGAGTTTGATACGTTGAAATCTTTCTCTATTATACTCCAGTTCATGGTAGAGGGTGAGTCAAACTGGGGTGTGACATCCGCCCCTGCCAATAGTCCTTATTCTTCACATTGAGATTAACACATTATGCAATAATGTATTGTGTTAACTATAAAGACATTAGCTATGCATATTAGAGAGCTCATAAACATGGATCCAATGAACCAAGGTGCTTATAACTAATTAACTATTAATAACAGTGTAAGCGAGCCTAGTTGAGCTTAATGAATTGTTTACATGTCAACAGTAACTCATTATGTTACACATCAACTATCATAAATGTCATTTTCTAAATGATATCATCTTGTGCCATTGCCTTGACCAAAAGTGCCTTTACAACATACATACAGAAATATACCATCCACACTTAACATTAGTCCACATGCACTTCTAAAATATTGAACATAAATACCTAAAGAGAAATAAACATACTTGGTAGGCCCTATACAATCATGTACAAGATATATCAATACTTATCCATGTCTTTAACATACGAATTAGATAAAGATGATGCCTTTTGAAATGATGCTTTAGATGATCCTCTTACATAAATAATAGTTTGATCATGGCATCATTAATCTCAATGCAAATTTGAATTAAAATTTTCATAATTAAATCTAGGACCATGCAAAATCGAATTTTAACAAATTTATAGTTGAATCGAAAATCTTAATGAATTAGCCTATTAACAACAAAGTGATCCAATTTGAGCCTAAATGAATCCATACCAAGCAATTAAAGCTTATCTACAAGCTTTAGGACATTAATTAAGTGACCAAACGACCTCCAAGTCTCACATGCATATAGTCAAATTGAGTATCTTGATAAGACAAATCTAATGAAGGAAAAAAAATTCTAATTCTTATATCATTAAGATACCAAAAATTGAAAGAATGGTCACATGGTATCTAAGATATGTTAGATCTTCAAGTAAAAATTTTCATTGTATTATTAATCATATTTTCATTCTTTCTAATAAATATCGATTCAATTTGGTTGAAATTCTTTTATTCTCTCCCATATAGTACAAGAATGTTGATATTTGATTCACTTTTTGAAAATAATTAGTATTATATAACTTCACCATTCTTAGAACATATGTGCATATATGATTCAAACTATGATAAAGTATGGTTCAAATAGTTGTTCAAGCCATGTTTAAACATTATTTGAAATCATATTGTAAAGGCCACTATGAGGTCACCTAACCTAAGACCGCTCTTGCACAAACAAGGTTTACTTCGGAGTTTCTTAATGAAATTCTAATAATTATATAAAAAAAAACCCTCAATGTTTTAGTGTTTAACTTTCACAATCTCCTCCATTTAAGTTACTAATGTTCTTTTCAGTATCCTCCTACCATAATAACCCACTAGGCAGATAATAGTCTAAAGGTGGCTTCTACAAGTTCAAGAGCTAGTTCCTGCCATTTAACACTTTGTTCCATATAGGGTTCAAGAGATGGCTCCTGAAAAGAACACTTTATCATGTATGACACTTAGTTTTCATCTTTCGACTAATGTATTACTCTAATATCATTTTTATAACAACCAAACTCTTAATTATTGATGTATTATTTGCTTTGACCTAAGGGCCTTACGGTTTTGTCACACTAATTTAACTTCCTAGGAGGTCATTATCCTAGAATTGCTCCCACAGGAGCACGCTTAATTTTGGTGTTTCCTAATAAAATTACAACCATTACACTAAAAGGCGTATCGATGTTTAGGAGTTCAATTTTATTTTTAGAAGAGGTTTTGTATAATATAAATTATTTATCTATCACATCTATCTTAAAATAAATTTATATACTTTAAAATTCAACGTGAACAATTTTTTATCAGGGCATACTTATATATTTTTTTTCTTTTCTCCAATTTATTTTGAGATATCCAAAGTCAAATTTCACTAATCAAATTGCCAATTTTAAGTTCATCTTCTTTTGATGTGGTCAAGATACTCTTCAACTCGATGCAATCGTATTGTAAAGGCCACTAATTCCTTTTTTTTTTACGTAGGGGAAAGATCAAGGAATTCCCTATTGCCAACTATTAAACCCTAAGGGGCTATTTGATATCATATTGGAGTTAACTATAACAGGTTTAGTAAATCCTATAAATCAGGATTTAGTACCTGAGGATGTTAAATACTGAAAACTGTTTGGTATGTCATATGTTAAATCCTAAGAAACTGTTTGACAATGTAATCCATTAGTTAAAGTTGTTGGTCTACTTAGAAATTAAATTTAATGTGCTTTGAATTTTATTTACGTGTTAGTTATGAGTTAATTATGAATAATATACTTAGAAGATAGTTTGATTATCCAATAAATAAATTAATAATTTAATTTATAATTACAGTATTCATTATTCAATTATTTTTAAGTATTATTTTAATAAATATCGCAATACTAATTATAAGAACATTATTTAATTATTACTTGAAATAACTAATCATTTCATTATTATTTACACTACTGACTATTTCATTAATTTAAAATTTTAATTACTAAATTATATTAATAAAACTAATATTATTAGTGTTTAATTAAAAAACTTAATAATTAATCTTATAGGCGGGTAGTCTAGTTACTCGAGTAGGCTTTCCTCGCTCGTCACTTAAGGTAGAGCTTCCTTCGCTGGTTCGCGTGAGGGACGGCTTCGAACGAGTCGCTTGTCGGGTTTGCTTTTCCTCCTCTGCATTTCTTCAGTTCTGCTTCCTGTCGGATCGGAGTTCGCCGCAAAGGTACGATATTTCTCCCTTTGGCGCGTTTCTTCTGCTAAATCCGTAAACGCCGTAGTTCGTAAATCCGTAAATCCGCCGAACATCGGGACATATTTACGCCGTAAATCGCCCTAAATCCGTTAATCCGGCATTTAAGAGGAATTCGGATTTACTGCAGCTGGAAAACTGTTTGGCAGGATTTACGGTAAATCCCAGCGTATATATTGCTACAAATCCGATACCAAACAGCCCCTCGATGTTACCCCAGCCCAAAGAATCCTCACCCTCTTGTTCTTCTGAAAGATTCTTTTTTTAAATATTTTCTTCCAGTAAGTGATTCTTAGGCTTGGCTCAAGGTCTGCAGAGGTGCCTGCGATGGTGGTCGTCGATGAGGAAAACGGTGAGATGCATCCGCTGGATCTGTTTCTGTCTGTTGGATTGGATAAGCGGACGGCGGAGAACGTGCTCGTCAACCCCAAAGTCACTTCCAACCTCACTGCCGTCATCAAAGAGGTACCTTTACTGCTTTCTGTTTTAGGAGTGGGAGTATGCAGTATTAATCGGACTGCAACCGTTGTAATATGGATTATAATTTGTCAAGTGAAGAAATACTCCATTTTGAATTGTAGTTTGGTTTCTAATCGAGCTTGTTTTAGTTGGTTGGCATATAGGAGATGAGTTTCTTGCATTCAAATTGGTTTCCCAGCAAAGAAAAATATGGTTTTACTTCCCAATGAAGTCTAATGCTTTAACCTGTCTAGAAAAATCAAGAATTCTTATGGATCAGTATAAACCAACCCAAGCCAAGTTGATTATTAATTTGTTTGAAATTGATGCAAGACAATCATGACCATTAAATGATCTTATGTTTTTTTTTGGTTTATAAGCAATGCCATTTTATTTCAACATGTTCTAATTGCTTCATGATATGTAAAAAGGACCTTTATTTCCTTCTATGGCTGTTGTGTCATATTTTAAGTTGGAGTGTTTAGTCATGAACTTATATAACAAATTCTAATATTATATTGGATCATTGAATTTGAATATTGAATTGAACATTGAATTGAATATTGATCTTCTTTAAACATCGCTCGCCTACTCTCTTTCTATTCGTTTCTCTTCTTAATTATAATCTTACCATTTTATTCTCTTGATTCTATCTTCTTTTCTAATCCCCCTCTTTATCTTCCACTAAATAATATTGAAGCTCTTGATTTACTAGGTCTATTGGTCTCACAATCTTTGTTCCTCGTTGTAAGGCTAGCCTACGTTCACCACTGTCACTAGTTGTGATCCATGTCGTGCACGACAACCTCTAGTGCATTGCACAACCAATTATTCTCGTCTATCATTGCATTCTTGTGCTACATTCTCTACTTGATTATCTGATCTACATGAGGCTACACACCCTATCCTGTGAGGAGAACCGTATTGTGTGAATGCCAAGTGCATTTAAACCACCGCTAACCATCGTCAACACATAATTAATTGTTGCCATTGATGCAACCCTTTCCACACATCTTTATGATCCAACTGCTAGCACCGCACATCGAACATCCACTAGCCCTTGCTTGTGACCTTTGCCAAACTAATGCATTCCATGCCAAATTGTTCATTCTCAGTTGCCTCTGCTTCTTGAACCTAACTCCCTGTCACATTACTGCTATACATTTTGTCCGCATCGTCTCTGCTTTTAGCATACGATTGGAGACTATTAACTTCCTCTTAAGTGATATGCGTTCATCTTCATTTATTCTTCTAAGATCGAGTTTGATAAGCAATACTTTAAAGCAACAAACATCGCTTTTTAGGTGCTGTCACATTCGTGCATAGTTACCACTACAACTTCAGCATTCAGTTCACATTGTTTGATTCGATTCATTTTTGGGGATTGATTTTAAACCTTGTAACTATGATAGAGCACAAATCTTAAGGCATATTCTCCTTTCTTGAAAATGATTTGAGGTCATCCTCTTGAGTAATTAAACTTCATCTTCATGATTTTGCATCCAATCACTAAATGAATGATCATCTTAACACAAAAATTATGGTATTAAACTTATTCTCCTGTTATGATGACATCAATGCATAAGAGGAAGTAAAATTATGGTTAGGACAAATATTATTTGTTAAAAATAAAGAAAAAAATATTATAAATCATGTTGTCACTGTTTTTTTGACTTATTCCATCATGGTCATAAGCATCTACTTAGATAATTTATTTAAGGGTATGATTAAATTTTCCTAGATTTGATCGCTGGATAAATTTTTGCCTGTAAGTGCTGGATGATGAAATTGAAGACGCCTAAAATTATCTGTATGGATTTAATGATGGTCTGAGATAATATGAATGTTGTTACAAATAATAGATCAACACAATCTTCATATTCATCACAATTTTAAGATCATTACAGAGAGTACGTTGATTATCATTTTCCCATAATTGCATCACATAAACATTAGCATTAACATTAACATCAACATTATAAGTATTTTGATCAATCATCCCCTATTAATTGTGTTAAATATTATGATTTATTAAATCATCTGCTGTTTCACCAAGATTTACAAGAAATCCAAGCTCGGGTAAAAAGAAACTTGCAAATGCTTGATAGCTTCAAAGAAGGAAAATGGAATATGGAACATGATTGCAGCATCATACTAGCTATGTTTGAACCAAAATCGACCCTTCCAAAATAATAAGTCCTGACAATAGATGGTGTTCTAAGAAACTTGATGATAATAATCCAGATGTAGTTGACCAATTGATTGAGATCTTGCATGAGCCAAAACCTGAATCTATTACATTGATTGTTGTTGCACTTGATATTGAGCATGACTTTGTACCACTTATAGAGATTATTTATTTCCTAAAGTAGCTTTAGATGTTACCAAAGGAAGATTCACAAAAGCCAGAGCTGTTTCCATCTTCTAATATTTAGTTAATGCTTCTAATTATGCCACAAACACACAAAACAAAGACTAAATCCATTATTTTTAGTTCATGGACTGTTCTTAATTGCGTAGGTTTCTCTTGATTCTCTAGTTCCTTTACCTGATCATATGTCTTCCATTGAGTTTGTGCTACCATTACCACCATTTGCTACAACAAAGTTTTGTGGTGATTGCTTCCACTGCCAGGATGAGTGCCTTGCCATGCTTGCCTCAAACCTCTGGATGTCTACCTTTTGCTACATCCTCTTTTATTGATCATAGATTTGTACAGGAGTCAGTTTCACCTCTTCCACCACTATGGTCATCTTCCAACTCTTTGGAGGAAATATATTTTTAAACTCGAGTGAATGATGCTGGACAGTCATTGCCATCAAATGCTCTTTTATATAAGCATGTGTTTATTTAATTTAAACTTATTTTAATTGCTTCATAATATGCTATGACACTTTATTTTATTTCCTTCCATATTAATCATGTTGTACTTTATGTAGATATTTTGAATCATGAACTTACATATTCCAATATTGTATTCAGTCTTTGAACTTGAATATTCATCTGTAAATCTCTCTATCGCCCCAACCCCTCTTTCTCTCTCTCTCTCTCTCTCTCTCTCTCTCTCTCTCTCTCTCTTTGTTGTTAGACTCTTTGCCTTCTATCTCCTTCTACTATTTTTCTTCTCTAATTCTCGTCTTTGGTTTTCACCAAAAACTAGCAAGTTTCTTGCAAAACAAGTTCGTTTTCAGTTTTTTTTAAAGTAAATGAGGCTTGCTTTCACATGTTATTGAGTTTTTATATAGTGAATATGCATGCTTATGAACATAATGAATAAATAATTGTAAGTTCGGAGAGATTTTCTCATTTACATATCTTCATAAATCTTGTTCAAAGTAGCCATACATGATCCCACGTATGATCTGTTCAGCTGCTGTGTTGTTTCAGATATTCTCCTAGAACTAGCACTAGACTTCAATGCTTATTCAAACTGATGGTTTAAGATCTAAATATTCATATAGAAAGTGCTAAACTAATATTAGGCTTTTACTTGGATAAATTGTATATTCATGGATCAATATAAACAGAACTTTATCAACGTGCATATAATTATAATTGGTGCCATTTCTCACTGTTTCTTGCATTTGGATCTTTTCCTGTTATGCAGATAAATAACTTTAAAATCTGTTTCTTCCGTTAAGGAGAACATCTATTGGTTGTGTTTTGCTTATATCAATTTCTGGAGGTTCTTATAATTGTAATCTGAAAAACTTTTGCAGGCATGTGTTGTTGATGGATGTGGCAAGACTGTTGGAAATCTTTTGTACACGGTAGCTTGTTTAATTTTGAAATTGAATTTTTTGATAGAAGCTGCTTTTAAGTTTTCTAATGCTTGCTCTTTTTTGTCATATAGGTTGCGACTAAGTTCCCAGCCAATGCACTAAAACATCGGCCAACTTTACTTGAATATATCGTTTCATTAAAGGTGTTGTTCTTACCACCAGTTCCAAGTTATAAAAATTCATTGTAAACGCAACCTATTATAAAATAATTAGCATGTCATGTGATCTTTTGTAATAAATCATTGTATAAGAACATTCAATAATGTCATGCATTAAAAAGGTTTGTAGAGGGCATTTGAGTACTCACTTTTTGATAGAAGTTCATAATTTTTGCAGATAAAATCTCCTGCCCAACTAGATGCAGCCTTTGCATTTCTTATGAACGTTGGGCCCGAGACTTACCAGTTGAAAGACTTTGAAGAAGCTTGCGGTGTAGGTATGTGATGCAAGATAATGTATGCGTTAAGATTCACTTCCAAAGTAGTTTTTAGGCAGTTGTCTGATTAAGCTCTATGTATGCATTGAATTAGCTTTTACGTGCACGCTCATACACACATATACATATATATTCTCTCTAATGTCTTTTTCTATTTCTCATCGTCTCTCTCCCAAACTAATTTCCCCCCGATTTACCTCTTTAGGGTTCATACTTTCCTTACCCACTCTATCCCCTCTGAATTCTTATCTCTACTGTTTGATGGCACCAGTATGTTTTAATGTGGCATTCTAATATCTCATCATTTTGCAACTTGTTGGTTCACCCTATTCATTTAAGTGCGAGCCAAATGATTCCTTCTTTTTGGTTCCCTCTGCACATACATTGTCACACTCATTTGCTCTTTGATTTTCTTACAATTTCATTCCTCATTGTTTTACACCATGTTGGCTCCAAGTGCTTCATTTGTTATTCCATATTTGGCAACTCAACACGCTTCATTTGCGCATAGACCAGGCCCTTGCTATTGTGACCTCACTAGCATGCCCTTATGCGACAACTCCATTGTGTCACATCATCTTTGATTTATCACATTGCTAGAATGTCATCCTATGAATCCCATTGTCAATTACTCGTAAAAATCAGTTGCACTTCTATGCTTGTAATCCCACTACTGTTGCTACTACGTTTTTTTCGCAATCAGTATGCAGTGGCACAAAAAACATTGCATTTACTTGTGCCTTTTTCCCTGTCGCAACCACGCATCATAGTTTTCTTCGCATCATGTGCTCGATGCCACATACAACCTTGTTACATCAACGACCAAGTATTGTTACAAATTGTCACACTGATTGCTACAACGTTTTTGTCCTCCCTCATCATGGTCTGCATTAAGTGCCATTTGTGACCAAAGTAAATTGTAACTCCCGTCGTCACTAGTTCACCGTCACATGCTGCTACCTGTCACCTTTGCATCACTGGAGTCACATAGTCTTCTAAGGCATTGCTATTTCCACTCTAGGGACTAATCTTTTATCGTTCCTAGGCACCACCTTTTACAACCCATCTATCATGCTTGCTTGTGTTGTGGAGTTGTTCACAAAATCACTATCTTGTTATAGTGCCGATGACCTGTTTGTGTGATTTTCCCGACCATTCAATGGTGATCCCACTACGCCATTCTTTTGATCTCACTATGCTGCCACCATTGCACCTTTTACCTGAATTACAACTTCAACCATAAGATACAAGGTTGAATGTTGTTCATATCAAGAAGAAGAAATCACCCTCTTCCTTATTCAATGCTCATGAACATCAAAGATATATTTACTTTAATTACATTTTATGACTTAAGGTATGTATATGAATTCATTTTGATTTACGCTATGCATGATTATGAGCACAAAATTTTAAAGTTTAATATCTTGTCATGCCTTCCACTAAAAATGCCATATATTTTTACATACACGACCACATTTATTTTGTGTTGTGATGTGTTTCCTATGCTAATCTTACTCTATTTTTTAAGTAGTTATAAAATTTTAATTTATTTTAGTTAACCTATAAAATACACTGATAACCTGCTAGCATTAGTATAAACTTAGTACACTTGCTATAATTGATGATAGGATGAATTTAATATTTGCTCAAGAACAATCTCAGTGTAAATATTTCTTGAAGATAGAATTGTTGAATTCATAACATACCTGCTGCATTATTGCTATTATTGAGTTTTGAATCATGACTTCATATTTTAACGCACATGGTCATACATATAATGACAAGGATTGACACCATATTCCTATGTTTAATGGCTTACAAGGTCCTCGTGCATGGTTCTTCTCTATATTTTTGGTAAAAGTTTGAGTCCCCTTATATGTTTAAGTTAATGGTTTGACTTGAAATGTGAATTTATGAGAGGGTTTTTTATTTGCTTTCTTATTATGAGGATAAATTTTGGATCAAATGGAAGATCACTTGCATAGTTATCTTACTATTTATGAATATTATATTTAGTTTTTCACCTTACATTGTCAATATGATTAGTGTAATTAATATGAAGTTTATTGGAGTGTTATATGTAAAATCATGAATGGGCTTAGACATTAGACACTTTGTTGATTCTTATGATCCTCAAACTCTCTGTAAAACTTATTACTAGGTTGACAAGAGTGAGAGACTCCTTAGCAATCTTATACTTACAACACATACACAACAATCTTGTTCCTTTAACACTTGAGAGTTCTACGCTTGTCCTTTTATGCAATAATCCCACACTTTCTACATAAGGACTAGCTCAACCTTTGCTAATTCCCAAATCCTTTGAAGATGTAGAAGTTAATGGTCCAAATTGTGATACTGAAGACTTAAACTCGAATGTTCTATGATACTAGAACATGTACTAGACCTTTCCTTAAATTCTATTATTCTAAGGAATCTTTTTTTGCCGAGCTTGTGGAATTAGGGTCCCATCATGAGTTTTGATCGTTATTTTGACTCATACCAACTTATGCTATTAATTTTCACCTTGCCTATACATCAAGCTTGTAAGATGATTTTCTTTCTTCTACTTGGCATGTTTATACATTTCCATTCTATGAGCATAAGCATTTGCATGAACCTTCACTATCAAAAACATACTACTTGTAATAATGAAATTCTTAATATGGATGCTAATATTAATGCTGATTATTATGTAATTAGTTAGTATTAATTTGATTTCGTTCTTTCCTATTTTCAACTTAGACCTATTGATCTTTCCATTTCCATGCATTATATTGGAACTTGGCCTCACCATCTTTGAGATTCCTTGACCTTCCCCATTTCTACTACCATAATATTGAACTAGTAGATTATGTACATTATATGAATGTAAATGTGATTATTAATATTGACTTCATGTTGGAGTTCCTTTGTCTTGTCCAAGATGTTCTCGTGGCTATAATACTTCTTTCAGATGTTCTTATAGGTCTAGTTCTTTTGCTATGCTTACTGCTGTTTGAGTCAAATATATGGTTGCAATCATTTATTATCATTGTTAAGTTTATTCTTCCACCACTTCTACCACTTCTACCACTTGATCCTCCATCAGATGTTAAGCTATCTATTGAGGTGGATGTCTATTATAGAACTCCTCCATGACCGCTAAATTATATTGATGTCCTACTTTCTAGCATCATATCAGATATATCAAGCATGTTTTGACACCACCACTTCCATAGACATCATTTCTTCAAACTCTTCAGGGAGGAGTTTCTTATATCCCTAGGAGTTGATGCAGTATGAAAATGTGTTATATTATCACCTGATTTATCAAATGTGTAATCAAGCATGATTCTTTCATAAAAGATTTAATATTATTGCTCATAATCTCTTTGGCTACCATTGCTTTCTTTCCTATTTTCTTATATGTCTAATCCTCTTCATAAATTGAGGAATATTGTGAGAGAACTTCAATCCTTTGAATTTTAAATCAAGTATAATAAGTTTTGATTCCTTTATTATCTTCTATTCACTTTCTCTCATATGGTGGATTCCACTTTTCCCTTTTTCCTCTTTACTCTAGTTTGCATCACATTTTATCCCAGACTCTTGGGTTCTTGTTTGTTATTACGATGTTCATATATCTAAAGCATAAAGCTTGTTCCTATTCTTAACTGATTATGTGCATGTCTTCCTGAAGTCGTCCAAATAGTATTCTACTATCAAATCTTGATATTATTGTTTTATTTGGGATGAAATTTTTATTTGTTCGTCTTTTTTGGTCATAGGCTATTTGAAAAATTATATATGAGGAGCCTTATATGTTATCGCTTATTTCAATTCACATGGAGGATTGAGTCTTAATTTCTATAATGCCCAGTCTACTAATTGCAACTGGGAGGCATTTTTTGAAGCAATTTTTATTTTTTTCATAAATTTGACTTGCTTGATATTTACGGAACCTGTTTGGTGGTTTGGATGGGCTTTATAGTACTTAAAGTTATAGGGTGATGGTCAATGCATGAAATATTATAACTTAACTTTTGTTAGCATTACACCATTTAACCTTTTTTTTTTTTTTTTCAAATTTTCCAGCTGCATAAGTTTATTTAGTTATTTATTTATTTGGTCTTATGTGCATTTACGCTTGGGTGCATGTGACCGGCTTTCTCTTATATTTAATATATGCTATGAAGCTAAAATACATTTTTCGTGAACAATTTTAAAGGAAATTTCTATGCTTTGTAGGAGTGGAGGTCTCCTTGGAAGAAGTTAAAGCTGCAATTAATGCAGTGTTGGAAGAAAATATGGATGCTCTATTGGAGCAACGGTATCGTATAAATGGTGAATGACTTTCTATTCCATGCTTGTAATTATTTGAAATGAATAGTGCCATTATCTGTATGCACATAAGTTGTTAACACATTTATGTATAAGTATTTATGCTATCATATAAAATATAAACATAAGCTTATACTGTTGCAAAATGGTGCATTTGTTGATATACACTTTTTCGCACTACAGACATTTATATGTTTTTGTGTGAATTTCATCCAGCCTGTTTGTGAATAAGGATAAACTATCCAATTTCTTATATGTGGTTTCTGTACTTCTCTTGCAAGCCTTTTAGTTTGCTCTTTTTCTACTCAGTTTGGCAAATGGTTCCTTGATTATTCTAATTTTATCCCTTTGTTCCACCAGTTGGCAACCTATGTGGACAAGTTAGGAAGAAACAGCCTTGGGCTGATGCTAAGACTGTTAAGGTAAATAAATACTAATGCATTGATAGTCGTATTAGTCATTACGGTTTGTTAGAAGTTTCTATTCTTGTTATGTAACAGGAAATAATTGATGCAAGAGTTGCCGAGATACTTGGTGAGAGGACGGCAGATGATGATATAAAACCATTGAAAAAGAAGAAGGAAAAGCCTGTAAAGGTTGAGGTGTGCATCTTATGTGCTTGTTGGTTGGTTTCCTGTTATGATAAATAGTTTTATTTTTAACATTTCCTTGTTTCCAGGATCAACCTAGTCATACCAGTGCTCCTGTCACACCACCTGAAGAGGAGTTAAACCCTTTTTCCATATTTCCTCAACCTGAGGAGAACTCAAAGGTATGTAGCCATCGGCCGCTGGTTTGATACTTGTTTATTTATTTGTGAATTGTGTTCTTTCGATTTCTTGACAATTCTGCAAAGTGTCTGTGATGGAATCTTATTGTTTAGATAATTCTATGGTTTATTCTACTGACTTGTATGTCACATATTTGTAAGCCTTTTATAACCATACATGGTTTGTTTTTTTCCACCACAAAGTCCACAAGATGGGATATATTATGATGTTTGTGAAGTTCAAATTCAAGATTTTGGCAGCAGTTTTTAAAGCTCTTACCAACAGGTCCAATTGGCACCCAAAACTATCGATTTTTTTAGATAGATCTCTCAAGGACCCCTAATGTTTTATGCATTTCTAAGGCAAATTATTTTTTATTGTACTTTTGAATTGTCTAAGTTTAGCTTTATCCCCTTCACGCACCCCCCATTGTAACTTCTACATAAATCTAGTTATTGATGCGCATAGTAGTATATTTTGCTGGTTATTTTATGGTTCAAATAATTTGTTTTTGTTGAACATTATCTTATATAAAAGATTGTTCGGTCAGCAGTATGCAATCTTATTCTGTTGCTTCTACTTAAATCCACCAACCCAAACCTTCATGCACAATATTTTCAAGCATGCTGCGTAAAATTCTTTTGAGCTAAAGTTGGAGTTAGTTTGATTTTTGATGGAATCCTCTATTTCACATATTGATGGGGACAAGTCCTGCATCACATATTCTATGAGACAAAACTCCAGCCTTCAAATGATGAGAAATTGATACATGTTATGAAGAATCTTTTCACCTATTCCCATGCAAGTTTCTCAGGTTCATACTGAGATATTCTTTAGCAATGGAGAAATATGGAGAGCTCACAACAAAAGGGAAATGCTAGAGAAGCACCTCAAGATAACTGGAGGAAAGGTTATAACTCGTTTCCCTCCTGAACCAAATGGATATCTTCACATTGGACATGCGAAGGTATTGGAGATTGCTGTCTTAAATATGAATATTATGTTGTACTTCTGTGAGATTGCATTCGTCTCTTATCTTATGATATTGTTACAGGCCATGTTTATTAATTTTGGTTTAGCCAAGGAGAGAAATGGTTCATGTTATTTGCGGTAAGCATAACATATATATTTTTCCATTTTGATTGTATCTTTAGATCAATAAGTTGTATTGAAGTCTTGCAACTTGCCAATACTAGCCTCTATGATTTTCTTAATTTCTTTCATCTATTTCTTAATGGTGTATCATAGATCTACATTATTTGTGTGTTGAATATTTGTTTGATTTGCTAGTTTGCTCTGTTCTACTTCAGGATTTCAAGAAATCATATGGGTGAGAATAAATTTGTGCTAATATTCACTTTGCCTGTGAATTTGGGCATAGATAACAAAAGTGTATCGACTTATTGAGTGTTTGTTAGATCGGTCTAGCTAGGTTGAGTTTTTGGAGTTTGCTGAAATTAGAATTTCTTAGGTTGAGTGGGCTCTAGCCGACGGCTAGGAATTTGGGAGAGCTGGATCTTCCTCTCCAATTGAAGATCCAACTATATCTTGTATTTTTCTTCTTAGTTCTTTCAATAAAAATGAATTTTTGTGTTCTTCGTCCTAAATTTCTTGGGCCGTTCTCTGGTTTTGCTGAAATTTCCTCCACTTCTTATCAGTCTTTGGATTGAAGTATTAAAAAAATATTTTATATATTTATGTCTTAAATAGAAGTAGAGTAATTCAGTGAGAAATATGGTAAATATCAATATCTTTTTAGTTTTCATGCCAATTTTGAAAAAAACTTTTGGAATATTTTTATCTTTGTTGATCAAGAGCAGATTTCTCCCTCTTTTTCATCTACATCCAGCTAGCTGCACATGGTGATGATAGATGATAATAGAAGGCCTTCTTGTATTTACTCTTCAAGAAGTTATGATTTTTCTAGGGTTTGGTATGCTGAACCTTAACATGCTGGCCACCTCCAATCTCCAACCTACATCAATGACTACCTCCTTTGGCTACCACTACTCCGCTGCCGCCATAATTTCCTTGTCAGTTGTCACCACTGCTTCATCGGTGGCGGTCACTATCCATACATTAATAAATATATTCAATATTAAATAAAAAAACAACATGTTTTTAAGATATCAAACATATTTTATTTCAAATCAAAATTGAAAAAAAAAAAAAAACAAAAGTGATCCCAAAACTACTCCTAAATTATCTTAATAAGTAAAAGCCTACTTTACACTTTCATGTCTTCACCCACAATAGAAAGTTATAGTATCACTTTTTGATGCAAGTCATCTTTGGTTTTAGTGTATTTTAATGTAAAGTTAGAATGAGAGGCATAAATAAGCACAATAAGGAGCAGAATTTGTAGCATGCCAACTATTAGTTTAGGTGAAGTTTAATATGTTTTGATGACAATCATTAAACATATAAAGATTGTGTCAAATGGTAATTGAAATTATTCTAAAATTTAACACTTTGCTAGTAATTTGGGAACAAAAAAATACAATGATTAGGATTGACTCCACGCTTAGGTAAATAAGGTTATTGCAAACTTGATTAAATTCCAATCATGCATGCAAAACCCACACAATATGGAGATGAAAAGAAACAACGATAAAGTCGCTGAAGAAGATCCATGTCTCATCTGGTGAAGAAGAAGCTTTCATCAGAATCAAGAGTCGAAATATGAATTAATAGCACATCATAAGTTTGAGCAAAATTTGAATTTTTATTAATCTACTGATAGGCTGTTTGTTTTGGCTGAAAAAGAAATGCATTGCAAAAGGAATGCAATGTAAAATGAATACTTTAGAGTTGTTTGTATGAGTGTAAAAGGAATGCAAAAGATTACTTTTTTTGTTTGGTTTGATTTAAAATGAATGTAGTGTAAAGTGCAAAGAGGGTGGTGGGCGGTGGTCGACATTAGTGGCAGACGTGGTAGACTGTGGTGGTCGTTGGGGGCTGGGCTAGTGGTGGGTGGCTGGTGATGGTCGGTGTGGTCGTCGGTGGCTGTGTTCAGGTGGCGGTGCTCAGGCGGTAGTGGTCGCGGGCGATGGCAATTGCAATGAATTTCCGGTGTATTTGGAACTCACCCGAGCATGAGGAACTCTAAATACACCAAAAATGAACTGGAGAGTGAATTCCAAAAGTACCAAAATTTTACACTGCATTTGCTTTACTTCAAACAAAACACTAATATTCTCAAAACCCCTGCATTTGGAATACTTTGCACCCCTTTTATTTCAAACCAAATAGTCCCTAAATGAATTTTGACATGTTATAGGTTCCTATTTATAACCAAAAAGGAACCACAATTGGTAGTTTCTCTAAAATTTCAAAAGCAAACTAAAAATTGCAACTCCTCAATTCAAGAACCTTGGTCAAACATCTAATCTCCAATCCGATTAATCCAATTGCTGTGCGTATTCTCTCTATCAAATAGATGAAATTAACACATAAATCCTCCATTCCATCAAGTGATGCATCACTTGAGTTGCATGAAAGGATTGATGGCTTTGATCGTCGTCGACAACCCACCTTCTTCGGCTTCGATCGTCGTCAACAATCCATCTTCATCGGCTTCGATTGTCGTCTACAACCTATCTTTTGCTGCAATCCGTCATTCTTCACAAGCTCCATGCTCTGATATCAACTGATGTGGTGAATCAGTGGAATAAATAGACCTGCCAGAAGGAACACCCAAATATGGGGAACAAACTAAGCTCAAGGCTTCAAATCATTATAATATTCATCATCCTACTCTCAACCTCTTCCTAATATATATATATAACCTAGTAATAGAGTATTCTAGAACTTACTAGAAAACTTGGTACCCAAGTAGATAAACTATTCCTAAGGTGTGCTGTAACTAGGATGTTCTACATCATTCTATAAATAGGAATGCAGGAAGATACAATACTGAAACAAATAAATGGTAGTAATACTCTTAATAACGAGGAAATCTTTCTAATATTAATTACCTTCCAATATTAGCAGTTCTATCTAATAAACCAATACTACTAAATATGCCAACAATGGTCAACCCAGTTCCTTAAAATTGATGATGGCTTCAGACACCAAACAATCTGTTAGCTTGTTCTCTTTCTTAGTCTAACTGCTTTAGAATCTACTGCAGTTGAATTGAGATGATTTTAACTTGCTGATTCAACAGCTTCCACAATTTAAAAACTAATAATTATAATACAATTTATAGTTGTGGTTCGTTTGCTTACTTTAACCACGCTTGCCATGTTTTTTTTGTTATTTAAGGGAAATCTTATTTTTGCTGGCTGATAACTGTGCTAATATTTCATAATAATATTCTTGTACCAGGTTTGATGACACCAATCCTGAAGCTGAAAAGAAAGAATATATTGATCATATCCAGGAAATAGTGCAGTGGATGGGCTGGCAGCCATTCAAGGTTTGCTGCTTGGAATTAGTTGAAACCATATTGATTCGGGTTTGGGAACAACTGATTCTTACTGCATTTTATCAGGTTACATATTCCAGTGATTACTTTCAAGAACTATATGATCTAGCAGTTCTGCTTATACAGGGAGGTCTAGCTTATGTTGATCACCAGGTTTGTCTAATTTTGGTTCAGTCTGATCAGTATTGAATGCTTAAGAAACCCCTCATTGGATGATTGGCTTATTATGAGGGCCTGACTAATTAAGTCCGTCATTAGGACATAAAGCTACCCTAAAGAGGCCTTGTTTGAAAAAGATGTTTACTTGGATTTAATTTTTTGTCAGACCCCTGAAGAGATTAAGGAGTATAGGGAAAAGAAGTTGAATAGTCCATGGAGAGATCGGCCTATTTCAGAATCATTGAAACTTTTTGATGACATGAGAAGGGGCTTAATCGAGGAGGGTAAGGCAACTCTTAGAATGAAACAAGATATGCAGAGTGAAAACAAGAATATGTATGACCTGATAGCATACCGTATTAAGGTAGTTCTTCTACCCAAAGCAATTTTGATGAGCTGATTTTTCTATATTGTTTTCTTCATTTTTTTTGTGATTAAATTCAGTTCACTCCTCATCCACATGCTGGGGACAAGTGGTGCATCTACCCTAGTTATGATTATACTCACTGCATAGTGGATTCTCTTGAGAACATTACCCATTCTGTGAGTGCTATGTTACTTTTTGCATAACCTGTTTTCAAGCACATCTTTCTGCTGTCATCAAGAATTTGTATACATAAATTGATTGGTGTTTTTAGTATAATTCCTTATGCTGGTCTAATGGTTTTTGTTTTTCCTGTGAAGCTTTGTACCCTCGAGTTTGAGATTCGCCGCCCTTCATATTATTGGTTACTGATGGCTTTGGACATATACCAACCATATGTTTGGGAATATTCAAGGTTAAACATTTCAAATACAGTTATGTCCAAGCGTAAGGTATTTATCCGTTCAATTCGACATTTCCTCTTCAGTGATGCTTTTATAATTGAACATTTCCTCTTCAGTGATGCTTTTATTTTTCTTGTAATGATTCTTTGACTGCTTATTGCTTGATTAAAAAATCTCAGTTGAATCGTTTGGTCACGGAGAAGTGGGTGGATGGATGGGATGACCCTCGGCTAATGACTTTAGCTGGGTTGAGACGCCGGGGAGTGTCTTCAACTTCTATAAATTCTTTTATTCGAGGAATTGGAATTACAAGAAGGTTGATTCCACTTTTCATCTTAATCTTATTTGGTTGTAAAATAAGGGCTAGGTTTGTTTATCATAGGCTATTAGGCTGAGTGAAGGAGTAAACCTATAAGTTCTATTATTGAGTTGTGTGCTTTATTTTTGTATGCACGTGTTTATCTTGTTAGTTTGCTTATGTTGACAAAATATTGAATAATTATTTATTTAGGAGTCTAGAAATTGGTGATTGATTTATTTTGTATTATGCTTTGAAATATTTTCTTGCTTCTTTCTGCATGTATTCTGATGTTGATTTTGCCATATAGTTTTATAAATTTTACCATCAACATTATATTATGCACTGTTGTGTCTTTTGTTAGGAATATTCCGACATTATGAAACAATTCTATATTAGAGTTTTAATTCATAAGTTTTTGGAAACTGATAATTTCTTAAGCTTGAAACTACAACTTTTTACAACAGACAAAAATACAAAAATGATGAAGATAGTTGGCCAATAGAGGATTTTGCAGGGTTAACTATGTTGCAGCTGTCTTGCAAGGCGTATTTTTGAAATTTCTTTTGTATCTTGATGTACAGTGATAACAGCATGATACGTTATGACCGTCTTGAATACCACATCAGAGAAGAGCTTAACAAAAGTGCACCACGGGCAATGGTTGTCTTGAATCCTCTTAAGGTACTGTGTTCTTTTTGTTTTTTTTTTTGGGAGGGGGGGTTGGGGATTATTACTTTTTATTCAGTTTATTTGACCTTCTTTACAGATTGTTATCACAAATCTTGATTCTGAATCGCGAATGAGCCTTGATGCAAAGATGTGGCCTGATGCTCCTTCAGAGGATGCATCCTCTTTCTATAAGGTACTTGTTTGTTTTATCAGGTTGGAGGGAGACAACAACACTTTCTCCTCGTGCTTGAATATTTTATAGAATATATCTTGTCTTAAATCATACTGAATTTAGTTTTTTTTTTTCCTTTAGATTTTTTAGCCTATCAAATGCCGATTGTATTGGTTTTATTTTGTTTCATCGGTCAGTTAAGGTTACATAAGCTCATATGAATTGTTTTGTATACGCACACCCCAAGGTTAAGCTTCTTAGGAACCATTTATTGATTGAGATATCGATTGATTCACAAAAAAAAAAATGTAGGATATATATACATACCCTTAGTTTTCTAATTTTCCATGCTATCTAGGTTTGACATATTGCTATATCTGTTAAATAGAAGCTATCATCATCCATTTTTCTCCAATTTTTTTCAGGCTTATCGTTGTTTGACCTGGGTATTGTGGTAATGTTACCAAGTGTGCAAAATCTACATATTTGAACTATCACTGACACTTTTTTCCTGATAATCCGTCCGTGCTGAAGGTCCAATGATTTAGTGCGGCAATTAAGGAAACTTTGAAGCTCTTTTATGTTCAGTTTCTTTTCATGACCATATCTTTGAGACAATTCTACCTTCTCCCCTTTTCCATTTTATTGCTTGCTCCAGTTTGGTAAAAGTGGTCCAATTTGCATCCTTGACAAGTTTTCCAAGTTTTGGACAAGCGTTTCCATTTTTTTGCTTGCTTCAGTTTTGAACAATGTTCTGAATCACAAATGATCCATGTCTTAGTGGTTTATTCTTTGATTTCTGTAACTTTTATTTGGTATTTTTTGAGTTGCCACTCGTTACTTTATCTAAATCTTCACATGCCTAAATTATATAATCAAAGGCATACACATTATATATATGCTTGTACTAGAATGAAAAATAAACAACTATATAGCCCTTTCCAATTCCTTTACTTTCTAACATAGTAGTAGAACTATTCCATACAAAGACCTTGTTTCTTCATTTTACTACCTTCTATTTTTGGGACTATAATAGCTAGATGGCTTCATCTTTCAATCAATGATCTTTGTTTATAATTTTTGCTCTTTTGACATTCCTTCAACACCTTTGGTTCTCTTGTAATTGTAGTTATCAATGTCTTCCTTTTCTCATGGGACCATACATGCGACGTGTTTTAATTTTCTAGGAAAATCTAGAACTACTTGCGTGGCTAATTTGGTATCTTATGAACGCTTGTATGCTAGAATTGAAACTTGTAGTTTTGGACACGATCTAAGAGGATTCCAAGGAATTCTTATTTTGGCTTTTTCACAAGCAATATATATAATCATGGAGACATGTAATGATCATTTGAGAAAAGGATCAAAATTGTCTCTTGATTTTTTATGAAAGACCAAAATAGCACCCCAACTATATTAAATGATCATTTTGGCCTCTCAACTTCTTAAAGGCGAACTAAAATAATATGAGACTATTTTGGTTCCTCTTTAAAGACTTGAGGGACCAAAATGATTATTTAATATAATTGAGGATCATTTTGGTCTTTTATAAAGAGCAAGGGATCAATATGGTCATTTTCTCATGTTCATTCAATTGTTCAATAAAATTTCAAATATTCTTTGAGCGTCTCACAATATTTATGAGTGTTCATAAATTTGTTTTTGACTACTCTTGAGGGTGATTAGCTTGATGTCGTTGTGAGCATTAGATATTTGATTGTGTGACTTTTTTCCTTATTTTTTTCTATATACCCATTTAGTGATTGATGTGTGTGCATGATTACAATTTTTAAGGTGTGATACTTGCATAGTTTACTTTTTATGGTGTGATTGCAGAATTTTATATTTGATTCTCATACATTTTACATAAATTCATATTCAGAGATTACTATATCATTGTTTCGAGTGAAATAAGCATGCTCGTTGTTTTTACACTAGAAGTTCCTAATTTTTTTTGTTAAAGTTCAGAGTTTGTAACCTAGGAATTGTTTTTTTTTTCTGTGCTTTTATTGTGTATCTCATTCTAGGTTGCATTAGTGAACCACACACCTCTAATTTGTCCAGCCGGCCCAAAGGCCGGCTCAGGTCTACAAGAGGTGGCACTTGTCCACCTCCCTTCCTTCTTGCCGCCCACATTAGTGGGCCCCACTAGTCCAAATTGAATTCAAATTGCAGAGGGGGCGGCTAGGGCTTGGGAGGGAAATTAGACTAGGAAAGTTTATGTATTAAAGAGCATGAGATGTTTTAGGAGGAGGTTATGTTTTGTTTTGTTCTCTATTAGGGTTCTTTGGCAATTTGGGCTCTAGACTCCCTTGTTTAGAGATTTGGGAGAGACGATCCTCCTCTCGTATTGAGGATCACTTGTATCTTGTTTCCGTGCTTGTTTGGTTTTGATTTTCATATTGCAATCTATCGTTTGTGTTGATTTCTCCCATATTTTGTGTTATGCTTGCTGTTTTTAACTAATTGGTGATAGGTTTGCTTGCGAACTCAAGTATTACCCTTAGGGTTACTTGCGAACTCAAGTATTTCCTATCAAAATTCGAGCCTTTATCCTACTACGGGAGGTCGGCAACAAGATCTTCAACTACGTTATTTATAATCATCATTGTTTCTAAACTTAAGTTGACATATTTTATGCTATCTTGAGTTTGTTGGGGAATATTATCTTATTGCAATTATCACATAGCCTAAATTGTTTATTATAGGAATATTTATTCATTATTTAATATTTTCTATATTTCTGTTTGTATCAGAATTTAGGAAAGATACATTCATTTTTAATTCTCCCCCCTAACACCCTTAACATAGAATAAAGGGTACTTGAGGAAATAGCAACCAACACCTTAATATGTCATTCCAGGACCTTATTGTGGTAAATCCTTTTAATATTTTACTATAATTATATAAATAAGTCGAGCACCAATGATATGCATAATTTAATATTTATTTCTATTTCTTTTTAATGTTGATTTAATTTCTTGAAATCTCCATAGGTTCCTTTCACGAATGTTGTTTACATTGAAAGAACGGATTTTCGTCTCAAGGACTCTAAAGACTACTATGGGTTTGCTCCCGGAAAAACTGTTTTATTAAGGCAAGTTAAATGATATTTTTATTTATTATCATGTATTCTTAACATCATATTAGAATGAAAGAAATCTTAACTATTATTCCATTCCTTGAAAATGGCCAGATATGCCTGCCCTATAAAATGCACAGAAGTAATTTATGGGAATGATTCTGAATCTATTGTTGAGATCAGAGCTGAATATGACCCATTGAAGAAAACCAAACCAAAGGTTCTGATTCTACCAATTTATGTTTTTTTTTTTAGGGATATGGTAATGTTTACTTGATAATCCTCTAATTTCTCTCTCATTTATTTATTTTTGGCAGGGTGTTCTTCATTGGGTAGCTCAACCTTATCCAGGAGTTGAACCACTCAAAGTGGAAGTAAGGATTTTTGATAAGTTATTCTTGTCTGAGGTGAGTGTTGTAGTGTAGTGATTATAAAACTCTAATACCCATATTCAATGCCATGACTTGTTTTAATTTTTTTTTTTTTGCTTATCAGAATCCAGCAGAATTGGAGAACTGGCTTTCAGATCTGAATCCAACTTCCAAGGAGGTGATATCAGAAGCATATGCTGTACCCTCGCTTGTCAATGCTGTAGAAGGAGACAGATTTCAGTTTGAGCGGCTTGGTAATTCCTATTCTCGTTACTATCTTATAAAAGATTACTTCTTTGATATTAACCTATCTTCTAGAAAAAACTTTGAACAGTTATATTATTTTCTTTTGTTTTATTAAAATTTATTTTAGGGACTCGAAGCACTAATTCAATAAGCCCCATCATTTGAATTGAAGACTTGATTCATGGTCCTTGACTAAAATTGTATGAGGGAGGTTGAGGGTTTATATTTGGTTGATAATTAATGCATGCAATTCTAAGTAAAAAAAATAGTGAAATATAATAATTTTATACTTGTTGGTGTTAGGGAATCACCTATAAAGTAGAAAGGAGTTTGATAAACTAATTTTAGAAAGAAACGGATGAGCTACTAAAAGATGAAAGGAAAATTGTTGTTGTAATGATGACTTTTGTGATCAAGGTTTTTTTTAGGATGGTATCTTAGAGGATTCATGATCAATATAAAGTAAGAAAGGAAAATGATATGAAACTATACTTGATTTTGCAGTAACATATGATTTTTTAGTGTGAGCATAGCATATTCTTAGAAATGAACATTGCATTTAGTTGCTTTCAAATGCATGGTCATTAAAATGTAGAGATAGATGGCTCAAATTTTTAAGGTGAGAAAGTTATGATTTCAAAATATTGAATGTTAATAGAGGCAAATTAGAAGCATCAAAATTGAAGAGCTAGATATATGGCATTGGCTAGTTGAAGTTAGAGGATTTACATATAAGTTGTATGGGAGCTTAAAAATAGATCATATTATTTACAGGAATGGCTTATCGTAGTATTAGTTTGTGAGTTAACAACAAAATTTCAAACATATAAGGATTATTAATGGACAAACGTTGGGCACATATCTTATATTGATTTAAAAGGTGGTGTTCGCAAAAATATTGAAAATTGATATATATTATTTACAAATAAAATAGTTTTATTGGTGAGAACAGTTTTGAAATAGCCAAGAACATAAGAATAGTGAAGAAAACTTAAGAAGATTAAGGGAATTTTATTAATATACCAAAGATTAAGGATATGCATGCTATTTTAGTAAAGGTGAAGTTAATGATTTTCACTTTGTATTTGTAGATATACAAGTAATGCTAGGATTATTTGCTTGAGTATATGAGATTTATTATACAAAAGAATGAGAATTAGATAATTTAGATGAGTACACATCTGTTAAAGTTGGTTGTTAAATGGAGCCTCAAGTACCGATAAATGGATAGTAAATATATTTCTTATAAATTTATTATTATAATGCTATGACTTTGGCTTATAAAGATAGCAATCATAGTCTGTTTGAGTGTGGCAGAAATAAGAATGCTAAAATAAATATTTAAATAAAGTGATGAATTTATCTTAGAAATTTTACTAAGAGTAGGACATATTGGAGATTATATATTAAAAAATAGAATAAATCGATTGATTTCGACATGTGTAATATAGAGTATAAGATGTATTGATGATGCATTGATAGACTTAGGTTTCGTTTGGGACGGCTTTTTTACTGCTTTTCAAAACATTTTGTTAGTACAAAAAATTTTGAACCAGAAAGTTGATTTAGAAAGTAGCAAAAAAGCTGTCCCAAATGAAGCCTTAATTAGAGTATTAAAAAAAGAAAATAATTAGATCAAAGTTGGTGTGATTAGAAGTTGTGTAATACACAAAAAAAAAAAAAAGAATTGGAGTAGGATTTATAAAGCCAATTTTAAATATTGTGATAGCTATTTAAGATGATGATTATCAATTATGATAGATTTCAATGTCATTGAATTTACTTTAAAATGAGTGTAAAACAGTTGTAATCAATCAAATTTGTACTTTCCTAATCTCAAAGTAAATCCAATGAAATCAAAACTCGTCCTAATTAAAAATTTGATGCACCAAATGTACTGCTTTTATTTTCCTGTACATTGATTTTCCGAACAAATTTATTTATTTCTTTTTTGTTTCAGGCTATTTTGCTGTGGATCCAGACTCTACGACAGAGAAGCTTGTGTTTAATAGGACCGTTACCCTTCGTGATTCCTACTCCAAAGGAGGAAATAAATAAAAACTATCTGTAATACATCTTTTTTGTGCCAATTGTGCATGTAGTTTAATAGATTATGAAAATATTGAAATTGTGGTGGACTTGTCTGGAAATTTAACAGGCACTTTCACTCTTTTCATGTGCTTATTTTGGAAAGCATAAATTATCATAATTAAATATTTTCTTGTTTCTCTCCTTCTCTCTCTAAATTATTCTGTGTAGACACCAGATGCCGTTCGGAGGTGAATCAGAGCGCACCATGTTACCCCTTTGCTGTGTATTGAGGCTATGTACCAGATGACGCGCGCTCTGATTTACCTCCGGACAGTCTGATGTCCGTACATAATAATTTCTCCTCTCTGTCTCTATATATGAGGATTTTAGCCAACTTGTCAAATGTTTTGAAGATCATGAGGCTTTGTTAACAATTGAATTGATGATTGTTAGCTCAAGCATGAGTAGCTAATCATTAATATTATTCAATTTATGAATTATATTTTACTTTTTCTTATGAAGTTTCTTCCTATCTATTAAATATTCTTATAAACTTTTAATCATCTTTGAAGTTTTTTTTTTTGTCTTCATTTGGTATGGTTTTCATATTGATTTAAGCAGTAAGAAAGATATCTAAAACGAATCCTTGAGACATTTTTTTATTGTTTTCTAGTAGAAAATTTTAATTTTTTTAATAAAAAATTATTTTATGAAGTAATAAAAAAATCATATCAAATGAAGCCTTAATCAATATACCATTGTGGGAAGGGTTTTCGTTCAATGAAAAAAAAAATTAAATCATTAAAAAATTAGTACAGATATTTTAAAAAATAAATTAATTTATTAAAAAATGTTAAAAAATACAAATCAAATATATTTCTTAGAAATCAAAACAAAAAGGGAACTCAAATAGTCCCTTATAGTTTGATTTGCTTCCTATCAAACATGAAAAATAAAAACACTATATACTATCTTAACATAATAATTTAGGAGGTGATATGAGCAATGACAAAAAAATAATATGATGATTAATAGATGAAACTATAAAATAATAATGATAATTATGACTTTGATTATTTTTTGTTAAGCTGGATATGATGAGGATGCAAGCAAGCAAAAAATAATCAGTTCTTTGTTTTAGTCATCATCAATAGTTGTTGAGGATTAGAATATTTTCAGATAGAATTAACCATTATTAAATAAACTAATAAGTCATAACCATTACATAAAATCATTTAATGATGAGTAAAATAAACTTTATTTTAGATATTTAAAAGGCTCTTAAAAAAAAAAAAAAACTTAATTGTTCGTTTGTTTGTCTGTTTTTACTACTTTTTTCATCTGGTAGCGATAAAGCAGAATTGAAAAATTTATTTGTTTGATAAAAATATTTTTCTTAAACACGTTCAGAATATCATTGTTTTTATATTATTTTCAATAGCTTTATGATATTAACTTCTCTGTTAGAAAACTCCGTTCTCTCAAATAATAGTTTTAAAATTAACTTTTTAGGAAAGCTACAAAATAACCAAAGCCTTAATAATAATTTGATGGAATTTTCGCTAGTTTTGATGCACCGTTAAAAAAAAAAACAAAATTTTTCCTGTAGTTGTTGATGTAATTAGGCATATTAATCAATCATTATGTTGCATGTTGAACAAGTTTCTGCTATCAAATCATATATATATAATTAAAATATTTATTATAATAATTACATTTCTAATTATAATTTTAAAAATTACATATGTAATTAGTATCTGTTGCATGAGCTATCTTTGAATTAACCTTCCATATTTCTTCAGAAACAACCTGCTATGATAAAGCTTGCATTGGAGCTCCTTTGATTGTTCTTTTGTTTTTTGCCAAACAATACTTCAAAGATCACTGATATATTACTTCTCAAGAAAACAAATATTACATAGAATGTGCAATAGAAGATCTCTCAAGGATCACGGCTTCGTTTGAGACCGCTTTCTTACTGCTTCTTAAAACAATCTTTTAATATAAAAATTAAAATTTTTGTACTAAAAGTTGTTTCAAGAAACAGTAAGAAATAACATTTATTCAAAAGAAATATCATTTATTTTATTATAAAAGCCACAAATTATATGATAAGTATGTGTTGCAGCACTTTTTCATTAGCTGAATAAGGCATAATTAGTTGCCCAGGCTTCCAGCAGGAACAGGTCCTCTATGCCAGTTTTCAGCAGGAGACTCCAGCAAAATATTTCTTTCAGAATAATGATCTACCACAAGACCTGCAGTTAGATTCACAGATAGAAATTGTTAATCACTGTTGCATTAGTTGATTAATTTATTTATTTTTTTCATTTTTTAATTTGTAGCATTATTAGAAGATCTAAAATAAGTAAAAGTTGTTTAATAATATGATATTTAATTGAATAATAGCTTTAAAAAATGATTTTAAGGCTTTGTTTGGGACGACTTTCCAACTGCTTTTTAAAATAACTTTCTAATAAAGAAGTTTTTAAACTAGAAAACTGTTTAGAAAGTAGTAAGAAAGCCATCCCAACAGATCATTAATCAGCAAGATGAAGCTGTGATGCATAAAGCTGCTTTTATAGAAGTTCAGAGCTTTGTAAGCTTTGAATCAATAGAAATCTGTTTCAAAAAATTATATATATATTGCAATCAAAATCTAATTAAAATTAAAACTAATCTCAGATTCTTGAGAAGAGAAGCTCTCACCAGCTGTTGGTGCCTCATACAGAAGCCTTGCATTTGTGCTCAAAGAAATGAAGAGAATGGAAGCAAAGATGAAGAGGAAGAAGAGTAAAATGCTTCTGCTTAATGGAGTCATCTTTTGCTTCTCTGTGTTCTTCTGTCTTTTAGTTTTCAGCAGAACTGTGGAATTTATAGAGTTGTTGCAGACATAATCTCTTCTGAGCAAAATAGAATATCTTGACTTGAACAAATTTAATTAATTCCTCCTCCTCCTCTTTCTTCTCCTTCTTCTTCATCTTCTTGTTATTTAAAGATGATGATATTTTGACTATTTCTCTCTGAAGATATAATAAAAAGAGCTCACAAGACTATAAACAATGAAGAAAGACACCAATGGATTACTTTGAACTTGACCATGCTCTTATTTTCCAAAAACCAGGAAAAAAAATTATGGTTCAGAATCGAAGGAATCAACTACCTAAACCAAAATTCTTGGATGAAATAAATGATTTCTTTATCAGTTCAAAGATTTTGAGGACTTAGACTTAGGGTATGTTTGGGATAACTGTCACGTTAGTTATTTTAGTAGTAAAAAGTAGTTTTTCATCATAGAATTTTTTGAAAAGCGTAAGAATATAGTAAAAAAATTGTAACCAAACTAAATTGTGACCGCTGTTTGAAAGACAAAGAAACTAGAAAAGCTTTTCCAAACGGACCCTTTGATATACATGCTATCATTGTTGACCCCTATACCTCAAATCACACGAGAAAAGGATACAAACTAATGAATAAAACGATATGAGCCTTGATGCCACACGTCACTTGAAGGGTCAAACGACCTCTAATTACCAAACAGACAAGGGCATTGCGATCATAACATCGAATTTTGCTAGGTCGAGGCCCCTCGCAATCAAATCGAATGAGACCGAACAAAATGGATGACCGACACTTGAAATTAAAGAGCGAGTCTGATCAAACGACGTCGGATTCACGAATGGACTGCGTTGTGTGTTCGGAACACTGGCAATACCCTAAATGCATTGTAATTTGTTTAATTGAGGTTGTGCATGCAAAACGAGGCGGCACCATGTAAAAATTACCCTCGACGTTGCTCAAACGACATCCGATCGTGAAACGGACTGTCGTTGTGTTCGGAACATCGGCAATACCCTAAATGCACAATCAATTTGTTCTATTAAGGTTGCGCACATAAATCGAGGCGACCTCATGTAAACATTACCCTCGACGTTTCCCAAACGACGTCCGATCGCGAAACGGATTGCGTCATTGTGATCAAAACATCGACAATATCCTAAATCCACTATTAATTTGCCTTATTTTGATATTTGAAAATTTTGACACGTTAAACAATGCAGTCGACACGCAAATTGGTAAAATTTTCTTTTGGACATGATTAAAATCATGGCTGGCATTTTTATTAATTAACAAAGCTGTGATATATCACTAATATGATATTAGTTTGATAAATTTTCAATAGAACAGCAGGTGCCAAATAGAGAAAAGATAATAGAGCCATTAAATGCCAATTAAGCTTGTTGCGTCTGTCAATCAAATATGTCACAGCCGGCCTTCGTCTCTTTTGAATTCAAAAACTCTGCCGTTAAAAAAAAAATAGACGAAGCCTTTTTTTTTGGCACTTAATGAATCAAAAGCCAACCCCTCTGCTCTGTTTTCAAAATGCTCTGTTTTCAAGAGGAAAGTGGATCAGGCATCAAAGTCCAGGGCTCAGCTTCTTCAGACCTTGGCTGATTCAAAAGTTGAGTTTACTAGACTTCTTTCAGCTCTTGATGAGAAGACTTACGTTGGCATGCCAAAGAAGTCAACTGGCACAATTAAGGAACAACTAGCAGCTATAGCTCCAGCGTTAGAACAATTATGCAAATAGAACGAGGATAGAGTCAAAGAGTTTGCAGATGTGCAGTCACAGATTCAAACTACATGTGCAGAAATAGCTGGAACTCTCAGGGTAGGAGAAAAGGTAGGAATGCCAGTGGTTGACGAGAATGATTTGTCACTGAGAAAATTGGATGAGTTTTAATGTCATTTACAGGAACTTCAGACAGAAAAGAGTGATAGATTGCATAAGGTTCTTGACTTCATAAGTTATGTACATGATCTTTGTGCTGTCTTGGGAATGGATTTATTTAGTCCTATAACTGAAGTGTATCCTACCCTGAAGAATTCTATTGGCGTGCAACCTAAGAGTAGAAGCGATGATACTTTGTCAAATCTTGCTAAGACAGTTGCAGCACTCGAAGAAGATAAGAAGAAAATATTGAAGAAGGAAGAAGAGTGTGCGTATATTTGTATATGTGTGTACATGTATATGTATGGATGTTTAAAAAGAGAAAAAGAGGCGATTCAAAAAAAAAAAAATGATGGTGATGTGATGATAAAAAAAAGAGAGAGGAAGCATAAAAAAAAGAGGAGAATGAAGGAGGGGTTTCAAAAAGTGAATGAGAGGAAGTTAAAAAAAGAGAGGAGATTTTTG